TGAGAAGGATTCTCAGGAGTGCAATAATAAGATCCATCAGAACTAATAAGACGATAATCTTCATTCAAATAGGAAATACTGCAATCAAATTCCTCAGCACTTGGAGCACTTGAGCCAGAATGCACTTCAACAGCGATAATATACGTATCGTTTTCAGGTGTAGGAATTGCAGCCAAAAGCTGAACATAAGTGTGTTTACCAGTTGTCGAGACAGTTGCTTCCGTAGAAGAGGAAATCTCTCCGTCAGGAAGATTCCATCGGGTAAGCTCTTGACCATTTACATATACAACAGCGCCACCATTAATTGTAAGAGCAACACGGATACCAAAATTATCGGTTCCAGTCATTTCAATCGAACGACGGAAGTAACGAGTCGTGGCAGTAGGAGCAGGCCAATTACCTTCATAACCAGGCCAATCCAACTCTCCAGTAGTCCAAGAAGAGCTTGTTTGGGCGGTCGAAGAATACTGCCATGCAGGAGGCAGCTCAACCATAAACGCCTGACTACAGGAATAGGTACTAGTCTTACTACAGGTCCATTGAATGACAGCAATAACAACATCTGCCAGTTTAACTGTCAGAACGGAACCAGTAGTCCATCCATCGCCATAAGAGTCTCCCATTTGAGCTAAGTATGGTCCATAAGTCAAGCAGTGAGTAGTAGCTGGGTACACCGTCTCGGGTTGTAAACCAATAGTCTCACTGTAAATAGGTGTACCAGTAGCAGAGGTTCCAGCATAAATGCTCAAGGATTCTTCATCACCGTAAGCCTGAGTAGTTCGTTGGAAAGTCACAACAACTTCTCCTTCAGCACACTGGCTCGAAACCAAAGCTAGAAATTAGGTCAAATGTCAATAAACTACAGAAAATTAAGGTGCAAACCAAAGCAAAAGCAATTTGCTTCATAATAAAGAATATTATAAAAGAATAAACATACAAATTCGAGATTCTGTAGTGCGGATATTCATTGGTCAAATAGATTTATTCATCCATATATATTGAGATAGATGAATTTATTGGATGCACTAAATATTGTAGCCAATAGACTGTAGAGATAATTGTCGACTGCTGTATAGAACAATATTCTGAAGAGCCTTTATCAATTGGAGATAGTATTTGGGAGAAAATGTAGGAAATGTGCCCTGCAATACTATACTGAGGAAATGAGTGAGAAAACTATAGTTTTGATGATATGTGTAATTTGAATAGTTAACTAAAGGAAAATTTATATAATATATCAATGAGATAATAATATGGTACATGGGACAAAACAGTACATTAGACTACAACCAGTGCCGGGCAAATAGTGTGATATTTGTTTAGATTTAAAACCGCTGCTATAACACTGATTATTAATTAAAGAAATAATGTTCTCTGGCAGAGAGACAATATTTGTGTTTCTGTATAGTAAGAATATCGTATTTGGTAACAAAAAACAAAATCAATTTTTACGTATTTATCCTTCCATCTCATATGACAATATGGTGAAGAAGGACTTCTGGTATAATCACAGAGTATTTCTCTTTGTATGATAGAACGTTTCATAAAACTGGATGCTGAGCGTAACTACTGGATTGGGAATTGGTGTACAATATTGATAGTTTCGAAACTGAGGTGTTTATTGTTCAAGATTTAGTCGAGATTATAATAACAGATATTATTAGAGAAGAGTTTGTTATTTTAGATGAGTGGTGTTGTCGAAAATTACATTCCACTCATTCATCCGTGCAATGGACCTACAGAGGTACACTCTCAATTTGAAAAAGCCTTTCTCTATAAAACTGCCTAATAGTATCGTTCTCGATTGTGTGGAGAAAATGAACTCCAGTTTGTTGCAAGTATATAGTATTTAGATGGAACATAATTTTGGATTGAGCATTGTGTGATTCTACACACTTTAGACATCGTGAGTCCTCTGTTATTCAATTGTTCGTTTCTCTACTCTATTTATCCTCCCTACTTGCTTACTCTCCTATACTAAAGCTAGAAAGGCAGGTTAGACAGACAGCATAGTTTTCTTTCTCTTTAGACTAGTGGGAATGGGCAAAGCGTTTCGAATTGGTTATTTATATGTATATTTCGAAAAGGCTATTGTATAAAAGACAGCGTCCTTCTCTTATGTATACTCTTCAGTAAAACAGAATATAAAACCTGGTATTTTATCAGTACCATTCTTTCCTAGCGATTTCCAGTTCGTTCATTCTTCTTCGCTCTTATTTGTTGATCTTTCAATACTTTCACCCCTTTCGATCCATTCAGTACTTTCTATCATCTTCAATTTTGCTAAATCTATTATCTTGAAGCGATTTCGTTTAACCTTTGATAGCTGGGTCTTATAATATGGAATCTGTTGAAGTGTGTATTCCTCCCATTCTGAATATCTTGGTTCCTAGTTTTTCTCCGAGCTATGAGAGTATTCCTACGTCGAGTCTTCTTCTCTCCTCCCCTTTCCAATCCTCTATTATCTCGTTTCTATTACAAACACGGCAGGTAAAGTACTTTGATAGGATGGAAGCTGCAGTACCCTCAATACCCGTGTTTTCGCTTGATGGAGAGGGAATCTGGCTGCATTCCTTCCCGGACTCGATGAAAGTCTTTGCTTCCAACTCTGTGCAACTCGCTGAATTGGGACTATCTTCGCTCTTTTCGAGTTTAGAAGGGCGGTGCTTCGCTCGTTTCCCAAGCAGTCTCTCTAGCAGGCCTTTCTTTTTCTCCTTCGTTTTCTCCTTCGTTTTCTCCTTCGTTTTCTCCTTTTCTTTCTCTTCTCCCACCACTCTCTCGTACTCAACCGCTTCGTACTTCTATGATTAAAAGCAGCTTCGCCCTCTATTACTTGCCACAACCACATCGTTAGTTCCCATACCGCACTTATGTTTAATGCTCTCGGTCCTTCCTGCATCGCTGATAGCAACATCGAGATCGATTCGCACCCCTTTATCCTCTCTCTCATGCCCAGCAGAATCGATGTGCAGAGATAGGGAACCGCGGGGAAATCGGGCAGAGCGTGCAGAAACAGCCGATCCCAGAGATAGAGCACATCCTCCAAAGCAAATTCTCGGCAGAACAGAAGCCGAATCCAACGCAATAGGAACATCGAGGGGTGGATTTCCAGCATCTGAATCGTATTCGAGTCACGGAAATACAGCGAGATGGCTTCCCAACGCAGAGTCCCAGCGTCCTACCAGCCACATCACGCGATCCATGCGCGATTCCAGACTCGAATCGCTGTTGTCCGACACATAGCAGCCTCGAAGGGGAGCGAACACCGCCTCCAGAAGACAAAAGCAGTCGTGCTCCAGATACTTTGAAGAGGTCAGAATCTGCAGACACGCGATGGCGTGGCGCTGCGAGGGAGAAAGAGTTCGCCGGAACGCCTCCGCCTCTTGTCGATACGCTTGGCTCTGAAAGCGCAGATGTTCGTCCAGTACGTCTTGGGTCCGTTGGGGAAGACTGTTTTCGCCTTCGCCTCCGCCGCCCAGTCGCCACCGGTCGCAGTACAGACAGAGCAGCAGCACGGCCAGCAGGTCCGTCATGCCCTGCTTGTACCCGATTTCCGGGTGAGCGAACGCGAAGACCAGCAGCAGCCGCACGATCAGGTCCTGCACCGCCGCGCTCTTGAAGAACAGAAGCTGGCTGAACGTGCGCGTGCAGTCCTTCCGGATCGTTTGCTCGCTTGCCTGGTGCTCCGGGTCGCGCAGATCCTCGTTCCATCGCGGAGAAACACGAACCTCGCCTTCCTCCGACGCAACGTTCGGAGCAAACCGACGAGAATAGTCCCGACACAGCTCTTCGTACCGTGCGCGCAGCAACCCAATCTCGCTGCACCATTGCTCCAACGGCTCTAGATAGCACAACCATCTCGTAGCTACGATGGGCGCTTAGACAACCCAACGCCACCTTCCACACAAGGCTGCGAACTCCGCTCATCGATAGATTCGACTACATGATAGGACACACACAAAGCATCCACATTACACACAAAACAGTACAAATCGTTCGCAGAGAGCGAGGACACAATCTCCGTGTGTTCCAACTGAACGCTCAGAGACACATTCAACTAGTTCTAACTGTGCAGCACGATTGTCTACCAACGAAGGTGTTTTCAACGGAGAACGCGGACAGGAAGAAACAGATCCATCAAATTCACAGAGTAAACGCCGAATTGAATCGTCGATAGGCGACGACTCATAGGGAGTTGCCCCGTTTAGAGACTTCCCTTTCATTGCACGCAGAATACTAAGTATCCATTCTTCTGCAATTTCTACACTCTCGAAACTGAAATGCAACACTTCTTCTTGACTCAACTCACGAATATAGATCACATTCTACCGATTTACACTCAACGTCTATCATACCTCAACCACTTCGGCCACTTTTCCATATAAGCTACACTCCAAAAAACCTTCACTATCACTTTCCTTCTTCAAAAACCGTAGTTTGCAATCCCTGAATATATAGTATCATGTGAGAAACTTACTCAACCGTGGAAAATGAGAGAACGCAAAAACACTTCGCACAGCAAAATACTCCCTACATTTTACAAATATTCTTTTAGTAGACATACTGATTTTAGAAAATACACTGTTCCTTTCTTTTCTTCAACCTAGAACTAAACTTAGGGAGTCTTTATAACCATCTTCTTTATTATATATCGAAAAGCATTCACAATGGAAGAAGAAAATCGGTAGAAAGTGAAATAATACAAGGATTTGGTTTGAAAACTTAGTGATCGGGTATTTTATATTTTGATAGAGTCGATAAGAAACGAGAGCAACGTTTTGATCCTACACGATTATATAGTACCCAGTGCGGATCGTGCATGTTTAGAGTCGAGTTCTCTATTTTGATTCGAATCCTCGTTGATTTTCTGCGAGGCAAGAACACAAATAATGCTCCACTCAGAATTTACAGAAAACCGCGATTCTCATTTCCTTATTTGTTTCGACTGTAGCTTATAATTCATCATAATGGATCGTATGTTACTTGATTTGGTTGAGGGGAACAAAAGCAATATCTGGCTGATTCTTCTCATTTGTTTTATTCTCTATGCGTGGACAACTTTTGTTTGCTACCTTCCTCTCTGGATCAGTTGTAGTCAGACAGCCCTATCTATTGTAAGTGCTATTGGCGCGGGCTTGATGGTTGGTGCTGCTTTCACTGTAGTTATTCCTGAATCCATCAATGATGCTTTGGCTGATATGGGTGGTTTAGAAACTGAAGAGGCAGCCCTTTCTGCTTATCGTTTGATCGGTATTTGTGTGACTGTTGGTTTTGGTTTTATGATGGTTGTGGATGCTCTGACCCACAGCTGCTGTGGTCATCACCATGACCACCACCATGGAGAAGAAGGAGTGGACGCTCATCTTGAAGTGGACCTTCACGAGAAGCTGCACGAAGAGCATGGAGAGGAATGCCACAAGGAGGAGCATGAGCACGGTGACTACAAGCATGGTCATTCGTATCAGGCAACTGTGTGGGGTCTGTGTTTCCATTCTATATTCGACGGAGTTGCCATTGGTGCCACTATGCTGGATCAGAATCCTCGAGTGTTGTGGGTTATTCTTGCTGCTATTGTGTTGCACAAAACAGCTGCTGCCTTTGGTCTTGGCGCCTACTTTAAGAAGGTCGGTCTGAATGTAAAGAAATGTATGTTTTGTCTTAATCTTCTAAATCTCTAGCCACTCCGTACATTGCTCTCTTCTCTTGCACGACGCCCATTGCCACATTCCTTATGGCCATGATCTGTTTAGTGGGTACAAAGCTCAACCACGCGCTGCTTCCAGTAGCGTTCGCTTTCTCTGCTGGAACCTTCTTATACGTCTCGCTGACACACATTGTCCCTGAAATTGGTTCCAACCTGAAGGCGTGGCACTTGCTGGCTATGCTTGCTGGTCTTCTCTTCCCCTACTTCTGTTTTATTGAGGCTGAATTCCCTTTTTGTTTCGAACAAACAAGGAGCTGTGGTGGGGCACAGACAGTCTATCTATCTATCTATCTATCTATTTGCAAGTGCCATCACTCGAGAGTATTCTTGGAAACATGATAGAGGGAGAAGAATCGATATTCGAAACTACAGACCTCGAACGAGTTTCTCCATAGCTTGTCATGCCATCTATTCCTTTCCTTCTTTAGTCCTTTAGTCCTTTAGTCGTTCATCACATTCATCACATTCATCACATTCATCACACTCATCAAACACGTCAGAGAAGAACGAGAGCTCTCTAACGTGTTTAGTTCGCTCAGCAAGATCGCTTGGCGGCCAATCGATTTTGCTCCTTTGTTACGTTTAGATTGAACACTTCCTCTCCGTGCGTGGGATGGATCGACACGAAATCCTCCATGTCGTCTTTCGTCAATCCCAGCTTCATCGCTACGCCAATGCCCTGAATTATCTCACCGCTATTCGGTCCCAAGATGTGAACTCCGACCACTTTACGAGGCTTTTCGTGCAAGCAAATCACTTTGGAGTAGCACTCGTTCTCCTCCGGCATCCCGGTTCGGTCCACGCGGCCCAGGAAGTTCATCTCCAGAGTGTTGTATCTATCGGTCGCCCGTCCCCGGCACGCTTACCGCATATGGTACACGTCGATCCGATCTCCGCCGATCTCTTCCAGCGCTTCTTCCTCCGTCATTCCAACGCTCGAGTACTCCAGCGGAGTGAAGACAGTCGTCGGGATCAGCGAGTAATCCATTTCCTTCGTCTTCCCGCCAAACAGCCGATCCGCCAGCAGCACGCCTTGCTTCACCGCCACCGGCGTGAGCTCCGGATTCCCGTACCTCGCATCGCCGATCACGTGGATCGATGGGACGCGGGTTGTTTCGCCCGAGCAGCACACGATTTTCCCGGACCCCGGCTCGGCGAATAGATTCACAGCCGAAAGATTCAGAGAGGCCGTGTTGGCGCGACGCCCAGTCGCAAACATCACCGTGTCGAACACATCCTCCTTCTTCGTCACGTTGTTCACCAGCCACTGCACTCGCAGCTTCCCGTCCCCCAGCTTCTCGATCGATGTCGGCAGCGATCGCTCCAAGAAGTGAACTCCGTGTCGCTCCATGTGCTGTTGAACCAGATCGCCCATCTGATGATCGAACTTCCGGAGAACGCGGCTTCGGACCATCACGCTCGTGTCGAATCCGAAGCTATTCAGAAAGCCCGCGCATTCCAAGGCGATGTAGGAGGCGCCCACCACTAACGTTCGTCCCGGCGCCTTCTCCAGACGAAACAAATCGTCGCTCGTTATGCAGTGCTCCATCGCTCCGGGGATCGAACTACACCTCACACGACCGCACGGTTCGTACGGGATCGACGGACGCCCGCCCGTCGCGATCACGATATGATTCGCCGTCAACTTCCGATCTTCGTCCGGACCCTTTACGTGAACTGTGTGCTCGTCCACAAAGCTGCCCTTCGCGTTGAAGTACTCAATTCCCTGATCGATCAGAGACCCGTTGTACTTGAAGTTCAGAGAACGGATGTAATTCGTTATGTTATCCACCATCCTGTTCCAATCGGGCTTGCGACCCAGGTTTGACTACATCTGTGCAAACTACCCAGAAAGCCCTTACCGGAAAACCGACTTGCCCCGCGTCCTGCTCGTTGTCACAGTAGTTCGCAGCCAAGTGGAAGAGCTTCTTCGGAATGCAACCCACATTCACACAAGTACCGCCCAATCCCCACTTTGTCCCTTGAGTACTCGGGTCCACAAAATCAAGCAATGCAACACGAGCACCTAGTCTATCAAAAATTCACACAAAACAGCACCATTCGCACTAGCTTGTTGAGCGCAACTGATTCCTCCAGATCCTCCACCTATCACAATCATGTCGAAACTGATTCTTATCAAAAAATCAAAACAGTACTCGTAAGCCGCAGACTGTGTAGAAAGTGACTTCAAAAAGCATTGCTTGCTTAGGATACTTGCCGCTGGTTTTAGGAATCTTGAACAAAGCATTTCTGTTTCAAAATAATGTAAGAGTTCTGTAAGCAATTGTCAACCTCTGAATTTCCCCTATTTTTGGATTCATCGCTTGTTTTCAACAGATACAAACATGAACAAAGATCTAATAACCTGCCACGATTTCTTTAACTCTATTAATACAAAAATGGGCCAAGTAGCTTGTAGTTGTGTGTGAAGAAAAGATCGACGAAGAACTCAAAAGTCGAGTGGCAGATTTTGTCCACAACGCAGTTTCGAACAATAAGAAAGTGGTGATTGTTACGTCGGGAGGAACTACAGTGCCGCTTGAGAAAAACACTGTTCGATTCATTGATAACTTTTCTACAGGGACAAGAGGAGCAACGAGTGCAGAGTATTGGTTGTCGGAGCTTTGAGTACGAGTTAGATATTTCCTCCAATATGGATATTCCGTGTTGTTTCTGTATCGATCGTCCACGAAGCGTCCATTCCGCACTACTGTTGACGAATATATTAGTGAGCATTTGGAGAGTGCAATATGTTCTGGAACCGAACTTCTCTGTATGTCGTATTTCGTGGTGATAAGAAGTGAGCAATGTGCCGTCATCCGTGAGAGATAGTTTATCGAAGCTGCATCAAGTAAGTGTGGATTGTATGACTTAGCGATAGTATCGCAACGATTTGTTGGAAATCCCCTTCACGTCTGTTTTCGATTACATGATTCTTCTGCGTCACTTATGTCTCTCTTGTGAAAGCATGGGACGAAATCTGATGTTGTTCTCCGCAGCAGCCGTTTCGGACTTTTACATTCCCTACAACGAAATGGCGGAGCACAAGATTCAATCAAGCGAGGGCAATCCACACATCGCTCTAACGAACACTCCCAAAATGCTCTATTTGGTGACGAGGGAATGGGCGAGCGATGCCTATAACGTATCGTTCAAGCTCGAAACCGATATCGATCTTTTGGTGAGCAAGGCGACCTCGGCGATCTGCAAGTGGGTTTGGGAGAAGGTTTTGTCGTAGGTATGATGTTGACTGTGTGGTGGCCAATGTGCTGATGACTCGCTACAAGGAAATCCGACTGATCTTTAACGCGAAGAGTCGGAAGAACCGAGGGATGAAGTTCCAGGCCGAGCAGGGAGCAGGGGCAGAAACAGGGGCAGAGGGAAAGATCGCGATTGAATTAGTGACCAAGACAGACGAAAAACCCTTGGAAGCGCAGTTTATTCCGCGGTTGGTGGAGGCACACGATCTGTATTTGTCTCAGTAGCTTTGTTTGTTGAAATCCTTCGTGACTAGAGAAAGGAAGGAAAAGTCCACTATTCTCTGTTCTCTGACTGAAATATTGTAAGGATCAAACACGAAAGAATCGAAGTATCATAATATCATAATATGAGGGATTTCCAAAGACAAGATAAGGGGTTTTGGTAAATCATTCGTATTGGTAATAATTCAAGGTATCATGAAGAATATGATCCGATTCGAAATGGAAGCATGGATGGGACAGATATTCGGCCTCATGATCGTGGTTTGAAGAGAGCGTATGGTTTCCATTGTCGTTTTACTCTTGAATGAATAAATGGTAGTTGATAGTACAAAGGATCGAATGATTTGCTGTAATCCATACAAGACTTTGTTTGTTGGGCGATTAAAGTTTGAATTCTGTATACAATGATGATTAGATACGATACGACGGAAGAAGCACTATATCAATTCTTTTCGCGTTATGGGAAGTTACAAAGTGTTCATCTTATTCGTGACTTGGGTTGGTTTTTGGTGTTTTCTGATAGAGTGTAGTAACGGGTTGTTCTCGAGGCTATGGTTTTGTGGAGTTCGTACACGAAGAGGACTTTACCTCTGCATTCTATGGAGCTCATCGAACAATTCTGGACGGTAGCCAGATCCTGGTCGATTTCATGCGTGCGCAGACTGTTCCGGGCTGGGTGCCTCGTCGACTTGGAGGCGGTGTCGGAGGGAAGAAACAAAGCGGACAAATGCGATTTGGTGGTCGGGATTGTCCCTTCCATGCTCCATATGAGAGCAATCGGTTTATTAAGAAGCCTAATTCCGGAGATGCTTCTGGAGGCAAACCGAGCGATCGAAGGGGATCAGGGAAGGAATTCGATGAGAAGGAAGATGGACGTTACGAGGACAAAAGGAGAGAAAAAAGGGAGGAAGATGGACGTTACCATGACGATCGTTCCAGAGAACACAGCAAATCACAGCATCAACACTCTCGTCATCATCAACATGCTCATTCTCGTAGCAGATCTCGTGAGCAAAGGGGTTACAGAGAACGCAGAGAGAGTGGTAGTGGATATGGAGAACACAGAGAGAGTGGTAGTGGATATGGAGAACGCAGAGAGAGTGGTAGTGGATATGGAGAACGCAGAGAGAGTAGTAGTGGATATGGAGAACGCAGAGAGAGTGGTAGTGGATATGGAGAACGCAGAGAGAATGGTAGTGGATATGGAGAACGCAGAGAGAATGATAGTGGATATGGAGAACACAGAAGGCATGAAGAACACAGAAGGCATGAAGAACACAGAAGGCATGAAGAACACAGAAGGCATGAAGAACACAGAGATGAAAGAAGACATCGAAAGCACAGAGAAAGCTACAGTAGAGAGAGGAAAAACGACACTAGTTATGATAGCAATAACAATAATATTAATAGTAATAAATAATAGTAATAATAATAACAACAACAAAAATACAAATTGAATTGTTTGATAATAAAAATGCTCAAACTGGGGATCGAACCCAGGGCCTTCGCGTTATTAGCACGACGCTCTAACCAGCTGAGCTATTCGAGCACTGATTTCATTTATCAATTATACTATTTATATACCACATATCACCCTCTTTCTCCTTTTCGACCTTTTAGCAAGATTATCATTATTAGTAGTATTGTAGTAATCATTGGAATTGTGTTACTAGATGCAACATAGTCATCACAGACATAAACACAGACACAAGCATAGACACACAGCACAACACTCTGAGGATCAACCCAAAAACTACTCAACCCTTCAACAACAACAACAACAACAACAAATCCCGATCGATGAGAATGTTGAGAGAAGCAAAGTAGATAGAGTCAAGTTCTTTCTTATTCTATTTCGCTTATTTTTAGGAAACAAGATGATTTTGATGACCGCGTCAAGTAATAATTTCTATTCTGTGTTATGTAGAAAAGCGAAAAGACTTATTCTCGATTTTCGCTTGAACAATAGCAGTACCGATTTGGATGATCTAAAGACTCATTTCAATATACTGGCAAACGGATATTGCGTGAATTTGAAGAAAGTGACCAACTCGCTTCTTCAGGGAACTCTTCAAGTAATATTCGAGTTGCTTCAGTTGCCTCTAACAAATCGTGGTTATGTATGGAGCGAAGAGGACGTTGGAGGCAGGTCAATATTTGACCTATTTGGCGATTGTTTTGATGCTGACATCGATTCCCTTCGTGCCTCTATTCTGGACGTTCCTTCCAACCCTGCTTCCACGAAAATGGATGAGAATGAGATCGATTTAGATGATTTGGACGAAGAGGACGAAGATTCTCCAACCGTCGTCATGGGTCCTGCTCTGCCGCCTCCTTCGGCGCTTCAGTCTTCGATGGAGGAGCAGTCCGATAGGCTCATCGGTCCCACGATTCCGGACGGTGCTGCTGCCCCTTCCCACTGATTCGCAGAGATCTTGGCGGTTCTTTCGCAGGGAGCGGTGGTGCAGGTGGAGAACTCGGACGAAGAGATCGGTCCTGCTCTGCCCGGCGAAGAAGCGCGGAAACCGACGGAGGAAGCTCTGGCGCAAGTGATGCAAAAGCGGGAAGCGCGCGAGCAGAGGACCGAGGGGAAGAAGCTGGTTTGGTTTGCGGACTGGTTCGAGCGAAGGAGCGCTGCGAGTGGATGACGATGCTTCCCGACAGCGCGATTTCGTCGGCGTTCGCAGCAACGCGGCCTCGCCGCTTCGCCAATCTGCCTCCGGGATGCACCGTAGCGTTCTCGAAGGCGTGCGAGTCAGATGGATCCGAGCTGGACGGAAACTGCGGAGGAGCGAGCGAAGAGGGAGCGCGACTACTTGTCGAAGCACGTCATCGGCGGTCTGTGCGAGTGCGGAGAGCGAGCGTGATGGATAGGAGCGAGGAGAGCGAGAAGGAGAAGGAATCGGCGATGACGAAGGAGCGCGAGCGCGAATTGGACGCGTACTTCGAGCAGCTGGACAAGGAGAGAGAGTCGCTGTCGCAGATCTACCAGCGCGTGGGCGATCTCGCTCCCGTTTCCCTCCTAGATCCGAAGGGAGAAAGCAGAGAAGGGACAGAGGGATGATCGCTACTCGCGCGAGGCGCTGTTTAAAAGACCTCGTCGCTCGTCGAGCGGTCCGAACGGTCCGAACGGTCCGAACGGTCCGAACGCGGGAAGCGGAGGCGAGTTCCTGGCTCACGGCGGGTCGTTGAAGAGTCGCTTTGGATCTGTATCCTACCAGACGGGGTCGTTGTGGACTGTTTGGCTGAACAAACAAACACACACACCAGATTACAGATTACAGATTATTTAGACGGTTTACAAGATCGCTGGTCGCCTGCGCAGGCTCATTCACCGGCATGCTCACATCTCCCAGCGGCGCGTTCTGCACCGAGTCGCCGCTCTTGTTCGCATACTCCATCGCCGCTTGCTCGTACAACGCCTGCGAATCCTCCTGCCCATCACACCCACTCCACATCCCTACGGACGCGTCCACCGACTGCTCGCTAAACGCGTTGCTGAACCCAGCGATCCTACGCATCACACGCAACCAACACGCGTACATCACGTTGTTGTCTTCGCACGCTTCCTTGAAATCGTTCGTCACTTTGTACATCTGCGAATCATCCTACAACAACACACTCATACACGCTCAAGGTTCATGGACTCGGCTGCTCCCTTAATTGCGCGAACACTTGTAGCCATAGCACTCGATATCTACTATCAATACAACCAAGATCGAATACAGAAGACATCGAATACATCTGCTGCATCGTTAGAGCAGCCGCCTCCACACGACAAGACATTACCATAAATTGCTTTGCTTGATTCCGCAGACGAACACAACTCTACGGATCAGTAGAAGCAACCGATCCAACATCAGCATAAATCTTGGCTGTATCTTGATTACCTTTCGCGATTTCCTATTCCTAAACTCTACTTTTCACGCATACATCTCTCATTCTCTTTTCATAAATTTTTGATTCCTTTACACAACGCTTAGACTGATTGTCCAGCATCTTCGAACTCATACGAAGGTCAATTACTTGATCCTCAAGAGAAGGTTTCTTAGACCAAAAAGGCATTACGAACAAATATTGATGATAATATTAAATATTAATAGTAATATTAATATTGATATAAAAAGCCTGTTTTATCGAGTGCGTTTCGATTTCATTGGACGCACTATCCTTCTTTCCAGTTTGAGTTATTCACTCAGCATTTTGCACCGTCTACAGTACGATCCTTTTTACATGAACCTAGGAAATTCAGGTGCCCACTTTTTTCAAAGTGAAGCGAAAACGGCTAAACTTGAATTCTTGGACTAGACAATCAAATAAGGGATAAAGAAATGTTTTCAAAGAGATCTCTTCGTTCTTCTGACTGAACGAGTTCGTGCTACCAATAGTGTGCTTGTAAGACGATGGAAGAGAAGAGGGAATCCGAACCGAAGGAACATAACTTCCGTGATTTACTTCATGAAGTGTCGCTTCTTGACAAAGAAATGAGTGGTAAACTTCACCGGTAAGCTATGGAGAGAATGGTTGAGTGGATAGAATGCATCTGTCTCGTACACTGGAATGGGTGGTGTTTTTACCAGGAATTCTTTTTGGAAGACATGTTCTTCCAATTCTCGTTGTGTTGATATCTCTTTTCATTGATTTTGAAGTTGGGTTGTACTTGGGTTTGTGTTGGTGGGAGAATTGGCGTGTATTGATTGTAGCCTTGTCACGGTAGTGCTCACAGAGCCAATGAAATATTTGTTTGGTCGTGCGCGTCCGGATGAGGCTGCAACGGTGGGTCGCGTGGTTCCTCTGCGTAAGGATGTGTCGAATCCTTCATTTCCGTCGGGAGATAGTGCCCAAGTAGGTTTTTTGTGTCTGTATGTTTTGAGGCTGCTGTGATTGCGGGCGTGATCTATTCTGTGACTGGAAGCTATTGCTGGTTCCTGATTCCGCTGGCGACGATGTTCTCTCGTGTTTATTTTGGCGCTCATTGGATCGGAGACACGTTGGGAGGCTTTGTGATCGGAGTGGCTGTGGGTGTGTACGTAATTCCCAAGATTGTAACGGAACTGATTTCGTTTTTCGGGGGAGAAATCCCGGTGTATTATGTTTTTTAGTCCGTTGTTTGTTTCAAAAGATACTCTTGAAATCGCCGCAGTGACTCTTGTTTCAAGAGTTCTCATCACCACCCTACAAATCGTCGCCACACAGATCGCTCCTCCCTTCGATCACTCGGTAGAGTTGCTCTTCGTAAGAATCGGGGATCGATTTCAATATAGAAACACATATACAAGGAGTACAACCACGATCTATCAAAAATAGCTTTCATCTTCAATTGGGACGGAATGTACAAGGAGTGATCCCAAATCATCCCTAGTCATTATCTGGGCATCTCGGTCGCCGGATATCACTTTGAGGAGAATGGAGCTTTCCTCCCTTTCCTTCCATGGATTCTCAGGCTTTTTAGGTGTTATCCGAAATCATATTTTCATGTAGATTTGTCCTTGGCTCTTCCGATCCGACTCCTTTTATCTACGTAACATTTGCTTTTGTGTAGCATTTGATTCCAAGTTTCAAATAGACAATTATCATTTCTTCTTTCTGTACTTCTTTTCTACAAACTATCCCTATTATGGTTTCCACAGCAGCAACAAGCTTATCATGCTACCCTGTTTTACATCTTTTCACCTGCAACAGCACACTTTAATGCTGTATATACAGAAACACTTACAGCTTCCCTCTGCTTCCTCTGCCTCTACCAATACATCCGACTTATGACATCGAATCAGATTTCGTTCACATCACTGTAGTTGAAACAGAGAGTTCAAAAAATAGTGTCCTTCTGACTATTCCTATTTTCATATCGACGTTCCTGCGAAGTAATAATATACTGCTAGCACTCTTCTATCTCTTTCCATGCTGTCTACGCTACTTTCTACACTGTCCCTCCCTCTCCTCTTTCCTATTCATATCCATTTAAGTCTTTTCGGTGCGTTTAACAATACGTGATTCTATTATTATTCACTTCAGTCTCTCCCTTCTTCTTCTATTTGCTCTCGATGAGTCGTACGTTCTGCTGTACGTCGTCTAATCCCTTTCTGCTTCTTTTTGGGTGTGAAGGGAAAACGTTTTACTCGATGGTTGAGCAAAAATACTGGGATGTTCGTCTCTTTGGATATTACCAGCTTCGCCATCTCCCCGATTTTATTATCGCGGCTCCATCTCTCTTTCTGGGAGTTGCTAGCTGCGTACAAGGCTCTACACGAGCATTTCAGACGCGATCATTCTGGGCTTTGCCGCTCGTTGCTCATTCAGTCACCTTGCTTGTTATCTGCCTCACCACTGCGAATGTGCAAATCGTCACTCGTCTACTTCTCAGCAGCTCCCCTCTCTTCGTTTGGGAGAATGCTTTGTTTGCAAGACGTTGGTCCATCCTACTGGTTTATTGGGTAGGATATTGCTTTGTCGGGAGTGTCGTTTTCGCTCTCTTCTTACCTTGGACATTTTGTGTTTGTTGACAAACAGATGACTCAGGTTTCTTGTCACCTTGCGATGCTTCACTCTTCATTTCTTCTTTTGAAGGATTGAGGGAGTGTCCTGGGGTGCTGGGAGATAAGTCTCTCTTAATCTTCGTATTCACACTCAGGCTCTTGCCGAATTGGTATTTGTCTTAAAATTTGACGTAGAGTGTTTTTCGCGCGAATTGGAATATCTGGATCTTTAAGGAAGCTATTTTTCAACTGATCCCTCATTGTTACTCGTCGACAAATATTGCACGGCCTTCAAGTTTATTACGCTTCTACACTACATGACTAGCATACATTTACTATAAAGTCGCGGTCCACAACTGGTATCTGGATATTTATTCCTGCGGGAATTTTCACTTCTGGTTCCGATGTTTGAGAAGTCTCCGGGACTTTCTCTTTACGTGCTGGTATATACTCTCTCAATGGAACTTTCACATCTGGTAAAGAAATATCCATATCTACTGAAGGATTCATATCATATGTTGGAACACCAACACTCACCGGCACTTCCACTTCTTTCTTTCGATATACTTTCACAGCCTCCCCGCTTATTATCTATGTGACAATTGTATTTTGGGAATACCAGAGTGTACTCTTCATATATGGTTTGAAGCATAATAGCGATTGCTTCAGCAAAGCGAGGTCTTTTGTTGTTGCCACTATGTGTAACGTGAAAGTTCCAGTCGGTATATTTATGAATAGGAACATCAAGACCATTCATCTCGTCCTCTACAATAAGCCATAGTACCTCATTAAGCAAGTTAATAGCTATATTGTATCTATTAATGAATAGATTGTATACAATATTACAATTCGAGTGATTCCATATACTTTTCTTTCTCTTGTAGTCTCTTTGCTTCTTCTTTTAGGTTTATAGCTTTATTCAAAATATCCATTTTAAATAATGTATGTTATTCAGTTAATACATGTATTCTATTATATTTAAGTAAATATGTTTTTTTCTTATTTCAGAAGCAAGCGTGACCGAGTGGTCCAAGGTGCTACGTTCAGGTCGTAGTGTGTTCGCACGCGTGGGTTCGAGTCCCACCGCTTGCATTTTTGTTTTTCTATTTTTTCTTTAAGTATAATAAAGCCTTTTTTGATATTGCTACTTGTTGTAATTTTATAATAGTATCATTATTTGTGATAATCTGGATAATCCATTGTTTTTTGTAATGATTTTCTGATGCATGTGCTTTTCACATATTTGTTTTTTTACTAACAGAGATAGCAGTTTACCACTTTTTTCGTATAATTGTTGTTTATCTTATATTTTTACAGAGTACAATTAGTTTATTACCATGTGATTCGTTGTGTTTTTTGTACGTAGAATACTGACGTTTCTTCATTTTTTGATGTATTATTTGGTTTTCACACCTTTTATATCCAATTCACTGCATTTTACAGAAGTTATCTTTTGTTCACTTAAGTGTTTTTATTTTGGGGTTTCAACAATACGTATTCTCCTTTTCTGCTTGTATATGAAGTACTGTACTCTAAGTACAGCTATTTAGTTAATCACTTCTAATCGTCGTTATTTCGTCCATTTTTTGTAACGTGCTGTAATATTTCGTACAAAAATAGTGTAGAGATATATGTACTCATTCTGTTACATCATATCACGGACACTTCTCGATCTTATTGTCATCAAACCTAAACTTGATGCTATAATAACAAAAAGATCTGTTTATTAATATCCCATAATTAGTTTTTTCGTTTTCTTAAGGATAGTGTTCAATTGATGCATTAGTAATTCGCTTCATTTTACCCTTTTGTTTCTATTTTAAACCTAATAGTAGTCAATATGAAGCATTTTCTGGAACTCTAGTATTGAATTAAAAACGAAAAATCAATGACGTGTGATGACCATCATTATAAAATCTAAAATGTCACATTTTGTCAATTTGATTGATTGGATGAAACTCCCCTTGATTCGTTTTTCCCTTTCTCATAGTATCTTTTACTTTATTCTGAATTTTACAGTATGAAGTTTGCCATTATCTTTCTTTTGTTTACAGTGAGGATTATAGCCATACTTCACCATAGCTTTGTTTTGCTACGCCTGGCCTGATTACCTGGAAAGTTTGCGACGACGCATATTACCATGGACATGTTTCTAAACTTACGATTGTCAATAACCCTGTTGTTCCTGGTCAAAACACTACTGTATCTGGTTTTGGATTCGTGGACAAGGATATTATTACTGGAACATGGTCGATGAGTGCATACTATAATGGTGTGTACATGATGTATCGCACTGGTGATCTGTGCACCAATACTACTCTTGATCTACCTTTAAACTCTGGCCGTATATATCTCAAAGGCTTGAATTGCCCCACTCCATGGGGTGTGGTCGAAGTTGAGCAGAAGGCGATCTTCTACGAGCCTCCTCCACCTGGCATTTATTCCATTCGATGCAAGATGCATGACCAGGATGATGAGCCCATCTTGTGTCTTGATATCACGATTCCGATGTAGAGTGTTTGTTCATAAAAAACAATGAAGACGCTTCTTAGAATTTGGATCGTTCCGCCTGTTTTTCAAGCCAAGTCAATACCTCTGGATCAGTAATATAACCCTTCATTTTCTCCAAGCAGAGCGAGTTATACTTCTCCAGCCATCGTTTCTCCTTCTCTGTTAACATCTCCTCCACACAAAGATCCGCCTGGATCGGTACGAACGACAGCACATCAAATCGAAGAAACTGGCGGTCCAGATGCGTCTTCTCCAGCCCGCTCTCCACGGTTACTGTCCCGTTAAGTCCCTCCTCTCTCCCCCCAAAGGATATACAGCGTGTTCTCAATGCGCACCCCGAACCCTCTCTCCTCATCATAATACCCAGGCTCGTCCGTCATCGTCATCCCCGCAGCGAACCCCTCCTTCTCCGCGTTCGTCCGCGTCGAAATCGACTACTTCTCACGCCTGCCTTCTCCTCACCTCCGGTCCTTCATGCACGCCCAAGCAATACCCCACTCCATGTCCCGTTCCGTGTCCATAGTCCAGTCCTCGCTCCCACAGCGCGCTCCGCGCCAGCACGTCCAGCTGCACGCCGCGCGTCCGCGCGGGGAACACCGCCGTCGCCAGCGCGATGTGGCCCTTCAGCACGGCCGTGTAGCACTCGCGGAACGCGCGATCCACGCGGGACTGCGCCGCGTCCGACGCGATGCAGACCGTCCGCGTGATGTCCGTCGTGCCCCACTCGTACTGCCCGCCCGTGTCCAGCAGAATGCACGTGTCGCGCTGCAGACGCGCCGAGGACGCCGCCGACGTGGGCTCGTAGTGGACGATCGCCGCGTTGGCGCCGCAGCCGACGATCGGAGCGAAGCTGTCGCCCAGACTCTGCGCGTAGCGACGGCGGAACGCGGTGGACTGCGCGGCCACGTCGAACTCGGTGGGGTGCTCGTCGATGTGCGACTCCAGCCTAGGACTCACCGCGGGGAATCGAGGAGACCAGGAGAGAAGGTGGCACATGGCGATGGAGTCACGGAGAAAAGCGTCGCGGATGTTGCGGATTTCTGTTTCGTTTTTGATCGCCTTCATGCGCGTTATGGGACTGGTCGTGAATCGAATTCGATCGAATACTTGAAGGTGGTGTCCGGATTGCGGCCCTCCAATCGCGAAAAAACCGCGAAACTGACATCGGAAGCATTGAAACAAATTTCCTCGGCGGCTTCGCTTTTCTGCTTCGCCATCGCATCGATGAAGGGCAGAAACGCGTCATACTCGCGGATCTGCACGCCGTTCTTTTCGAATTCGGCGGTCTGTTCGATGGAAAGTCGGTTCGGATGAATGAACAAAAAAGCCTCGTTTTGTGTCACAACGCCGTAGGCGTACACAAGCGGGTTGTACTCGACGTCGCTGCCGCGCATGTTGAACAGCCAGCAAACGTCGTCGAGTTTTGTGAGGAGTAAAATCGATCGATCACGTGACGCCATGGCTTCGCGCACGCGCATGATCTTGTCGAGTGTGGAGAGTCCTGCGGACTCGGTGGATAAGAGGGTGATGGGAGTGTGGGGAAGGTCTGTAAGCAAACAAACAAGGCGAAATACGGGGACGGTCCGACCAGAGTTGGTCGATGAGATTGCTGTCGAGGCAGACGAGGTTGATGCCGAACGGGTGCAACGTGCTCTCTAATTGGCAGCCGAAGCCGGTGGAGATGAGGCTGCCGTCCACTCCCACTTGAGATCCCTCGGGGAGCGAGGAGGCCAACCATTCCTGTTTGTTAGAAATAGAGTGGAGAGAAATATACGGTCACTTTGGGACATCCTGGAGTGCCGAGCTTCTTTAGCTGCCAACAGGATGGAAGTTCTTTCTCCGCCTGGAGGAAATACCTCGAATCTGTCCAGAGTAGCGCTTCCGTAGGTGTAACAACGGCTAGAAATGAAACTTCTTGGTGAAGAACGAACCCATTCCAGCGGATCCTGTGAATCCAGTGATCCACTTCCGGCGCTGATAGCATTCCGGAACGTACTCGCTCATATGCTGGTCCTCACTTGGAATTAGATAGGCTTCAAGCTTTTTTTGTTTCATTAGCTCACCTAGCACTCAGAGAGCTCTGAATATTCACTACGAAGACCGTTGAGTTTTTCCGATGCACTTCCCAATGTAGCAACTGAGACTTCACCAAAAGAATACACGACTCACATTGACACTTTAGTTCCATCCGAGACGAATGACTTAACTTTGAAATGACTTGCCTAAACATTTAGTATTGCTTCATATGTAATCTTTTGGATAATTGCTTTTCTATGTGCTTTTCGTTTGATTGTGTCAAGAAGGAATTCCGTGAGGAAATGAAGAAAATGAGCTAGGAGGCAGGATTATCGGTTCTTCTGTGCACCCTGATATGCATACTTTTTGGTGATATCATTTTCAGGCCGAAGTCTATTCGTATCCTTTTCTTCGGTGTTCTTATTACCCACAATGAATCTCAATTCGAATCAATCTATTGCCATTCCCTCGTATGAGTTCCATGCTTCTGAGGATATTTCTATAAAGAGTTTTGAACTGATTCGTTGTATTGGCCAAGGAGCTTACGGCCAGGTGTGGCTATGTGAAAAGAACGACTCCCATGTGCTGTACGCAATGAAGATTCTCAACAAAAATCAATTGAGTCGTGCTTCGACTCTCGTGAGAACCCTACGTGAAAGAAAGCTCCTTGAAGTTGTTGTTTGTGTGGAGAATAAAGCATAGTTGGTGGATAGTCCATTCATTGTGAAGCTGCGGTTTAGTTTTCAAGATACTTCCAACTTGTATTTCGTAACTGATTACTACTCAGGAGGCGATTTCTTTTCTCTCATCGAGCAGCAGCCCTACAACCGTCTCTGCGAAAGCTACGCTCGAGCCTATGTCCAAGAACCATCATTTCGTTCACTCGTAGCTGGCCGAAGTTGTCGTGGCGTTAGAAAGCCTGCACTCTCTACAAGTGGCCTATCGCGATCTGAAGATGGAGAACATCCTCATGACGAATGATGGCCATCTCATCCTCACGGACCTCGGAATGAGCCGAATTCTGCATCCAGGCCAGCGGTCGTTTAGTTATGTGGGGACTCCGGAATACATGGTTCCGAATTCCTTGATTGTCTTAATGTTTGTTTAGGCACCTGAAATTGTAAGCCATCGAGGCCACGATCATTGCTGTGACTTTTGGTCGCTCGGCGTGTTGGCTTATCAAATCATGGTGGGCGTAGTTCCTTTCACAGGAAACACCGTCGAAGTTTTTTTCTCCACTTTTCCAATTCGAAATAGACCGTTTTCAACCGCATTTCCCACCAACAAATCATCCTTCCTCCCTTTCTTTCGCACTCTGCGCGCACTTTTATCAGCGCGCTGCTTCAACGAAACCCCGAGCAGCGATTAGGCCACGGCGGCATTCAGGAGATCAAACAACACCGATTTTTCGAGGGAATCGATTGGAGTGCCGTTGAAAACCACACAAATCCGCTTCCTTTAACGCCCGCTTTTCAGAATTCCGTGACGCAGATGAACGAAATCGCCTCGGATTTTGGCGTTTTTGATCGATTTGCTCACTTTGTGGACGGAACGGATCGCTGTTATCAGAAACTGATCATCAAACAAGTGTTGTTAGGATGGATTCACTATGATTTAAAACCCGAACTCGTCGATGAGCACGTTCACGGAACCATTCCTTCGCGAGGCGATTGGAAGCTCCCCAACGCGAGTTCGAGCGCTGGGCTCAATGGGTATTACCAGTTTTCGAATCGCGACGAATTGATAATGCACTTGCAGAACGAAGAGGTTTTGTTTCCTGAAGTTGTGTCGAATTTGTGCAATTTGCAGCTGAGCATCGAAGAGAAAACGATGCTCTTTGAGAACGATCGGTGTGTGTGTCAGTGGCGATTGTGTGGGTGAGGGAAAGAGAAAGCGATGAGCGTGTAGACAGAATGAAGAGCAGGCATCGATTTGTATTAAAGGCAACATTGCAGTGAATTTCTCTGAACATGTTTGTTTTGTTCGTGTTTCCCATTACAGACAGAATCGAATCCGTCTTTTAGATATCACCACCGCGCTTTCTCCGCTCCATCTCTTTCAATCTTTAGCACAGCAGCACACTCTCTCCAATTCTCTGCAGAATCCGAAACAGGTTCTATCGTGTATCGTGAAAACCTTCGAGCAGCCAACGTCGCGCAGTTTTGACTCACCGAATCGCATTGAATCATAGTGTTTAATGAGATTTTGTCGTGCTCGCTCATTCAATCGATTCAAAGCTTTCAAGTGCGAGTGTATAAAAATCGAGAGTTGTTTTTAACTCAAAAATGTCTAGAAAGCGTCGCTTCGGTCATTTCCGATGCGCTCAAAAGCAGAAATGTGACCATTCTGCAACACGCCTTGTTCCCACAGCAAGAGAATGCGTTGTGGTTCATTCTATCTGGGCTGCATGTTCAGTCGCTTTTTGGACTGCCACCAATGAATGATGTGGCTTATCTCTACGGGTATCTGGATCTTGGACAGAACCAGCTGAACGGGGAGATTCGACTCGATGGAGTTACGAATTGTGAGGATATCGAAGCGCTCATGCAGCTATTCGAAGAGAATGTTGATTCAAAACTAAACAACCTGTTTAACACGCTTCGATACGATGTAGCTATATTGTTTCACACAGTTATCATAGGGAGAGATTGAAAAGGCTTGCTGGATGGAAATATGCGAGGGAATCCAGAAACGGGATTTATACTCATTGATGCTGAGTATTCGACAGTTGGCAAAGCAAATGTATTTAAAAGTATATCGTTTCCCTCTGCTTCGATGTAGGACACGGAAGTGTCGATTTCCTCCATTTACGCATGCGCGGATATAAAGCTAGGAATGAAAGAGGAAGATTGCATGGATCCCACAGACTATTCTCGATTGTAGAAGTAGCAAGGGGAGTCAATGTGTAGGGCACGGTCCAAGCTCCATTCTCTTATCGTAGCAAGTGAAATTCAGGAATATTTGATGAATAAAATCGTTCATAATTGAGCTCTCCTATTTGTTGAATTCCACAATTTTTCTTGTTTTTGTTGATTAGTTTACATAGAATCTGGAAGCGATGTCGTACATGCTAAGGGAGAAAAAGGAGCGTAAAAAATCGTCTCGTTATCCTGTAGTCGACAAATCGCTTTATCTGCCGTAGGATGGATTTTGTCTGTAGTTATTAATTTTTCTAGTTATGTGAGTGATGACATGACCCCTGAAGAGATTATGAAGAAGTTTGAGGCACTGGAAGAGTTTCAACGCAAAAAAGCAGAAAAGAGAAATCATGTTGTTCTTTATGTTCTTTGTGTAACGCAACAGAATGAAAAGAGCCCAGATTCAAGTGTTCAAGGCAGCAAACCTGAAGAATCTGCTAACGAGTGTGTTCATCCGGTTTCCTATCACTTCCAGAGTTTCCTTAGACGATAGCGATCTGATGGAACTATGTGATCAAATCGGCACCGTTTTCGACGAGAAGATCACCGACGAAGAGTACAATCCTCTTATCTTAACCCACCCAAAGCGACGCCTACGAAGACCACGACTTCTCGGAAGAAGACGAGGACTTCGAGTTCGATTCCGATATTTCCGAGTTTTTTTCGCTTTCGCTTCCCCACGTTCAGAGACGAAACAAAACGGCAGAAAGGCCGCTCCGGGAACGTCCATCTCTACTTCACGCGCGCCGGCCGCCTGATTGAAACCGTTTCCAGCAAGGCTCTTTCCCGGTTTCCACGTTTCCACGTTTCCATGGCGTAGGAAGTGCTACCAGCTGCTCGGTCCCCCCGAATCCCCGCGGTTAATCCCCGTCGGCGACACGTCGAGTCCGTTTCCCTGCGAATACATCAAAATCCCCGCGTATCTGGCACTCCCGCGGTTATCTCCAGTTCGATTCCGCTGACGTGGACGCACACAATTCAGGACTTTGTTCCGCCGACCCCGCAGCAGTGCATTTTAACCGCGGATCCGCTGTCCTTCGACTACTCGACGCTCCAGCAGACGTTCAACGTATCCCCGCGGTTCTCTCCCCATCTAGATGGTGTACGTCAACACGCCCAGCGACCTCTCCTACCTCGAGCTGGAGCGCCTGCAGCTCTCGCGCCGCGTGGTTCCCGCGGGATTCGTCTTCGTCTGGGCGGACAAGGAGAGCATTCCCGCGGTTCTGTCGATCTTCGAGCGGAAAGGGTTCTTCTACGTGGAGAATCTGGTGTGGGTGCGTTGCCACGACGAGGACACGGTCCCATTGGGCGATGTATCCCCGCGGGGAGGGTGTGTTGTAGGAGTCGTCGCTGCTGCGGCGGCGGAAGCGGACGCTGCTGATTCTGCGGCGCGGAAGACGGCTGGCGAACGGGTCGGTGAGCTTCGCGGGACTGGACCTGCGGCATCAGAGGAACCCCGACGTGGTGATCGCGCCGTATAGCGTGCGGGGACGTAGGGGAGAGAGGAGGCGTGAAGAGAAGGGTCGCTGATGCAGAGGAGCGTGTTCACGACGATGGAGACGCTGGTGCCGAGGGCGATGGACGGAGGGCTGAAGAACAGCGATGTGTATTTGCAGGTGTTCGGGGAGAAGGGGTTCGCGAGGAAGGTAGGAGAGAGAGAGAGAGAGGGGTGAGAGGTAGAATTGGATCACGGTGACGTATGCGGAGTGAAGGAAGGAAGGATGAAAGAAAAGTGAAATGGCTTTGATTGGTTGGGATGTTTGTTGAAATGATTCGTACTGGGAAATCGTTGAATGCTATTTGTTAGGAATCAAATGGAATCATGAATGGAGAGTGTGATGGTGAATTGGAATAAAAGAATTGATTAGTATTATAAACAATTGTGGAAATACTCGTTTACAAGGAATCATCTAACCTATTACTGGTATTTGAAGCATTTGATACTTGACTCATCATTGCAGGTCTACCATATTATGTAATACAAACAACACGAGGCAGACTCTCAGATTACATTCTTTCGTTCTCTGCCCAGATATGATAGAATGTTGCTGCGTCCGAGGCGACAACTTCTTTTGAAGAGACGTCGAATTTGAGAGTAACAAATTCACCGAAATATCGAATTAGAGCTGAATGAACGCATGATAATGAAGTAGAATAGCCGACCATGAGACTTCGATTGATGTCTTCTTTCTGTAGTTCCTTTTTTTAATTGTATAGTCTATGACGTCAATAGTACGTTTGGTAAATGGATCAAGAAGTAAATACATTCTGTTTCTTGTCAATTCTATCGCATCTATCTCTTTCAAAACTTGTATACTGGCAATATCGTACAGATTTATATTATAAGACTGTGATTTGACTAGCTATTCTTTGGTTTCACTTCATTCCTTTAGTAGTTTTTGCATTCTTCGTGAATACTTTTTGCTTTTAGAATTATAGATTTCCAAGAGTGTTTATTCCTTGACTTTACGAATAACCCAATTTCGAATCGTTTGATCAAATGCTAAACCTCCAACCCTATCATCACCGTCATAACCACAAATCTCCACAGCATTGTTTATTATTTGTAAAATTGCACAGGAAAAGGAGCTCGCTAATAAATGATAAACTAATGTATATCTATTCCTCAACTTTTCAAGTCCATAACAGAAAGCTACAGCTATAGGTTCTTTCAATATCAAATAGTTTTCTTTTGTGAAACCAACTTGGCGAATTACTTCTTCAGTATCAACAATATGTTCTTGTTTATAATCTACTGGGAATGTAACAACCACTTTATCCAACTTTCTACCTCGAATAACTTCAGAACGATCTAGCATATGTTTTTATAATTCCACATAGATAGAAACAGGGGGTTCTGTCATTTCCCATCCTTCCTTGTAAAACTCAACTTTGACATCTCTGCCTTCTCTCATATTAGCAATACAAATTTCTGGATTCGATAATACTTTTTCAGAATTGTATTGATATCCTATAACTCGCTTTGCACATTGAATTGAAAAGTAAGTAGATGATAGTATATAAGGAAGTGCCGATTCACCAATATATAGTTCATTCGTTCTGCTGATAGCTACAACAGATGGAAATGAACGTCTTCCTAGACCGGTTAATACACCCTTGGGACCATGTGTCTGATATGTTGAAATCGTAAAACTACTTGTTCCAAAATCGATTCCACCATAAAATGCATTCATAAGATATTATTGTTTGTTATGCGTCCTAACTAAATCTCAATAGATATCCGTTTTTGCTTCAATTTTCGTGATTTATAACAATTATTCAGCTGAGAGTATGCGAGATAAACCATGTGTTTTATTACGTTTGGTATAAATGAGATTGCTTTTGTTTCGTTTTTTTAACTGTTTGAACACACATATGTGATGCTATCTCAATAACGCTTCATCTTCCATTCTAGTATATGTTTCTCATATAGGTATTATTTACCATATTTTTTTAATAAAAAAATCATAGTAATGAACTAGTAGATAATGTGGAACTATGTGAGAAGTTTTGTCTAAAGATATTTTTATTTCAGAATGGTTTGTAATGGACGATAACCTTTTTTTTCTCTCTCTAATGTATTACGCCCTCTCTTCAATCAGGTTAAATATAAGAATACATGTTTGTTCTATGTAATGGCATTATGATGCTGTAAATTAGGACCTTGAATACTATGAAAATTGTGAATTTGATAAAACCGTTTCATATCAATAGATAATAACTCATTATGAGAATAGGATACATACTAAATCCAAAATATAATGTTAATTCACCTAAAAATAGTCAAGTATTGAATTAGGTAATCCTTGATACTCCAAAAAGAATATTATATAGTTCCTGTTTAGAGAGTCAATTTAGACAGATATGAGAAATATGTAGTCATTTGAATCACTATCCATTTATTATACAAACAGGAAGGCAATTCCTTTTGATAATTATAACAAAACTCATTTTTAATCAAACACAGACATTCGTTTGATAATTCCTGAATAACATAACAGAACTGAGGTAAAAGTGGAATTCATTTTTTATTATGGTCAACAATTTTGATTGTATACATATAGGGACATGGTAAGAATATAGATTCTTCAAAAAAACCCAGAGAATCAAGGTATTTACTCAACGACTACATTACCAGGGAAAAAAAGAAAATTTCCATCAATGGAGTCGATTATGAAGTGACTCTATATCAAGGAGACCATTCCAGTGAATACTTGTTGAGTGAAATGAAAGATGGTAAAGTTGAAGGTCGTTGCCAATTATTCAATCGTGGAATCTTGAGTCTTGCATGGATGATGAAAAATGGCAAGCGAATCGGTGGAATAACTGAATATAAGAACGGGAAAGCATTACAAAGAGAAAACTGGGATTCGATCCTAGGAAATGATGGAGATTGCAGAATAATTGAAAATAGTAAAGAAGGATTGATCATGACAATTCGACGTGAATGTAAACATGAAAATGGTAAAGATGAGAGTGATGATGATGTGGTGATTTATCGAGGTGGATTTGATGAAGAAATGAATCGAGATGGTTATGGAATGGAATATGATGTAGAAAATGGTAAAGAGAAGATTGAAGGATATTGGTCGAAAGACAAATTGATTCGAATGATTCGTGAATTTGATGCTGATAATAACCAAATGATCGAATATGCTGAAAATAAAGGTGAGAATGGTAATGTGGAGTTATTGAATCGAATTCCCATTTATATAGGAGGATATAGTATTGAAAATGGTAAATTTGTACGAAATGGAATAGGATATTTGCTTGATGAAAGCAGTGGAACAGCAATTCGAGAAAGTGAATGGGAACGTGGCAACGAAAAGAAAGGTGGAATTGACTTGTATGAAGGTTGGTACGTAAGTGGAATGAGTGAAAGCATTCGAAGTGTACTGAAGAACAAAAAGCCAAGTGAAATGAAAACTAAACCAATTATAAATGTCTCTCCCAAACGAATTGAAATCCACAATAGTTCTGAATTGAATGGAATGGATTTGAAAGTGACGGAATTGGTGATATGTTCGAATAGTTGTAATGATGTGAATTCATTGGATCTGAATCGGTTCGAATGGCTAGAATCAATCGAAATAGGCGATGATTGTTTTGGCTCAGTGCAAACATTCAAAATCGATGGATTGAATCGATTGAAAACTTTGAAAATCGGAAAGAATTCACTTACTCAAGTAAAACAAGCTGATTGGAATAGAAACTCATGTGATGCGAGAGACAAGGCAAATAACCATTCAAAATCATTCCACATAGTGAATTGTGAATCACTGGAATCCATTCAAATTGGTATTTTTAGTCTATTTGATTTTGGAGGAGACTTTGAGCTGAAGAACCTACCACAATTGCAAACAATAAGTGTTGGTGATATTGAGACCTATTCATGCAATTTTTGGTGGAGTACCCTGGTAGTTCGAGGTATTTTCCTAATACTGATGTGTAATGATTAGATCTTCCAAATCTACAATCCATTACATTGGGATATTATTCCTTTTGTTGGTCATTCTCAACAATAATTGAAGGTATTGAATGAGTTAGAGTGAAATGATTGATGTAGATCTTCCATCATTACAATCCATTACACTAAGTGAATATACACTTGCTGGAAAATGGAATGATAACGCATGTTCTTTGGTTATGCGAAGTAATAATGAAACATATCAAAATGAATGAAAATAGATCTTCCAAATCTAACATCCGTTATCAATACTAAAGGAGGATATTGCTTCAGTAATCCTCGTTCAGTAACATTGGAAAGTATTTCTAATTATAGGATATTGATAGAATTTAGATATTCCAAATCTTCAACGTGTTAATCTACCCGATTCATTCCAGGAAGTTCGAACAAAGTCAATTTCAAGTAGTGTTTGAATGATATGATTTCCTTTATAGATGTTTCTTCCACTTTCGCTAATCTTGTCAAATCTAAGAATTAGGTCTGAAAGATGAAGGCAGGTTTGAAGGAATGGTTTGATGTTATTGGAATTATACAGTTGAATGTTTGTTGGGCATTAATCTATTACCTATATGTCAAAGTCGCTCATTGTTTGTATGTGAACATTTTGATAAATGATGTTTCATTGCTTACATCTCTATTATCAAAACGGTATTGGTTGTACGAGGTACCAATGAATCAGACTGAAATCTGCTTTTAGACTTATTCTTTTCTGTGTAGTTTCATTTTGTATATTATGGTTTCTTGTTTTGTGGTATTATTATTATTATTATTATTACATTCACAAATAAATATACTTTGCTTTGACAGTTTAATACGATCGATGGATAGTGCAATGTCACCCATTTGTAATAACAGTGATATTCATCTATTTTTTCTATAACTTCGAACTCCCCACACATCCTACGTACAAATATAAAATAAAAATGCATAAATAGCAGTTTGACAATATCTCACGTATTCCTACTTGTTTATGGAGTGATTACTGTTGTCTCTTTTGATCACTTGCCATATAAAAGTTAGGACTTCATATTGGTTATGTAAAACATAGTTTTATAATCCCATTGTATTGTTTGTTGGAAGGACATGGAGGTGGATCTTTCTCAATATGTGGAAAGTGCTATCTACTTGCTCGAGAGAGAGAAGAGAGCACTTACTATTCCGTTGCTATGTAAATCCCTAGAAGTGACACCGCATACTGCGAAAATGTAGAATTATGGGTAAGTTGGTTGTTATAAGTAGGATTTTAAAGAAAGTTGCAGAGAAAAAGGAAGATTCTGTACTTTCAGTGCTTTGTGTATGTGGAGTGAAGAAGGGTGCTTATACAATTGCTCTATGCAAAAAGAACGAATTTGAGAGTATATGTATTGTGTGGTTTGCCAAGTAGGTTTCAAAAGTACTTTTGATCTTATTTCTTCAGTCCATTATTATAGTGTTGCTCTCTCAGAAGTTAAATGTTTAAGCGACGAAGTGTTTTCCTCATATTTGTGTGATGTAGATTTGTAACTCCATTTCTTCTTCTTTGGGCAAATCGAATGATCCTGCGCGTCCTCCACATTTCTCTCATATTGAAGATCCGAGTATAAAGTTTACTCCTTCTCCCGTTCATCCCTATTCAGAACCTCTCAAAGAGTACTCTATCATCTCGAATATCAACATAGAACACATTCCAATTCTACAGAAATAAAAAAAGAAACACACTCATCCACATCAAAAACCCAATCACATTCATCATCATCATCATCAAAGACTTTGCTTTCTTTATTCCAAAACGCTCCACCCAAAAAGAAAAGCACAATCCAAAAGATTCAAAACGATCCCATTCAAGATCCAAACCCAAACGACGACGATTTGTTTGACCAGGAAGACAGTGAAGAAGACATAATCGCGGTTATTTTTGTGTTTTTGAATGAATTGCAGAGACGAAATCGAATTCGATATCGAAATTTGTACACGGATGAAATGGAAATCGAAAACCAAAAACCGAATCCTTCCATCGATGAAACTGTCGAAGAAGAATCGAATTCGATGGAACTCGAGACACAATCGGAGGGAAAAGATCCCGCCAAGCCCGCCAAAAGAGAGAAAAAAACCGTTTTTGGCGCCATGTAGCGAATTACCGCGGTTTTCATATAGGGATTTATTCGCGAAACGCCAGGAAGTTTCATCGAAAGAACCTTCCGGAGGCGTTTCTTCGGGGAAACCGGGGAAACCGGGGAAACCAGGGAAACCGAGGACGCACCAGGTGAAGAAAATGGTGGAAGTGACGGACGAAGACGGTTTCACACGTTCGAATCGAGGGAAATTTCCATTGTAGGCTTTGAGGAGGTCTACGAAACCGTGGAAACCGTGGAAACCGTGGAAACCGTGGAAGGTGGAGAGGGATCGGAGTCACAGTCGCAGTCGCAGTCGCAGTCGACGCCGTTGCTAGCGCAGAAAGCGTCGTCGGTGGAAAGCGAAGGAACGGCGGGAAAGAAAGGAACGAAAAACAGCGAAAAAACGACGACGACGACGACGACGAAGGGGAAGGGAAAGACGAGCTCGATTATGAGTTTCTTTGCAAAGAAGTGGAGTGTTTGTTTGGAGGAAACGAGAAGAGGGGAAGTCGATGGGAGTGTGGAGGGCGAAAACACGGGATGGGAATGGAGATTGGGGGTTGTGTGCGATGGGCAAGCGATGTCAGCCATCTACTACTCTTTTCTCAATCTTCTGACAATCTTCATTGCGAAGCTATGAGTCATTCCCCCACTTCATCATCACGACTCATCCCTCTTCCATTCCATTTATAATTTCACATCCTTTGTTTGTGCTCTAACCAATAATCCATGATATCCTATTATACATCCCCATTCCCATCTCTTTCTTTTCCCCTCTTTCTCTTTCTCTTTCTCCCTTCCCCTCCCCTCCTTCTTCCTTCTTTTTCCAACAAACAACTCAATTCTCGACCTTCATCATTCCTTCATTATAAAGCTGCTGGATAATCTCCTTATAATGATTCTTCGAGAAATCTCTCTTCAACTTCATTGTCGGCGTGAGCATTCCATTCTCCACCGTCCACATCTCGCTCTCGCAATACACATTCTTCACCTTCTCGAATCCCATCAGCTTCGACGCGTTCGCCGTCTCCATCATCGCCTTCATCACCACCGCCCTCACCTCCTTCCTCTTACAAATCGTCGCGAACTCCATGTCCGCCTCCTCCATTCCCTGCTTCCTCAGCGCTCTCCGCAGCTCCACTTCATCCGGCACCACCACCGCCACCAGATACGACTGCAGCGAGTCTCCGTACACGAACACCGAGCTCACCAGCGGGCACTCCATGTACACCGCCGTCACTTTGTCCGGCGAGATGTACTCGCCCTGCGCCAGCTTGAAGATGTCCTTCTTCCGATCGATGATTTGGATCGCTCCGTTCGGACGGAACAGCGCGATGTCGCCGCTGTGGTACCAGCCCTCCGCGTCGAACGTCTCTCGGTTCACCGCGTCGCGCTTGTAGTACCCCTTGATCACGTTATAACCGCGGTAGCACGCCTCGCCGCGCCCGCAGCACGGCTGACCCTCGCTGACCACCTCGCCCTTCTCGTTCACTTCGCGACCATGCACCGAATCCTCCACCGAATACCCCATCTCCGGCACCGACACCAGCTACCGCTCACTCTCTTCTCTTCGCTCTCCTACGCGCGCCTCCGAGCAGCAGATGATGCCTCCGCAATGCCCCACCGTCGACTGGTCCATCATGAAGCTGCAGCAGATGCCTCCGCCCGTCTCGCTCAGCCCCAGGCCCTGGATCACCGGCACGCCGAAGATCACGCGCAGCGCGATCAGACATTCATCGCTGATCGGCGCCGACCCCGTCACCATGAACTTGATCTTGTCAAATCCCAGCGTCGCCTTCACCTTGCTGAACACCAGCGAGTCCCACAGCGCGTCGTGCAGCTGATTCGCGCGCAGCAGCGATTCTTTCTACAAAATAACCGCGGCAATGGACAAACCTTCGCGTCGAAACCCATCTCAAACATCATCTTCCTGATCCCGCCCGTCTGCCGCACCTTCGCCAGGATGCTGTCCGTGATCCGGCTGAATAACCGCGGGACCGACGGGAACACCGCGGGGTGGAGATGCTTCAGGTCGTCGAGGAGTTTCGTTGTGTCTCCCTGCAATGGACGGATTCCCGCGGGGATACCTGATAGAAGCCGATGCGGGCTCCGAAGAAGGTGACGCCGCACTGGACGAAATGCTCGAAGACGTGGGCCATGGGGAGATAGGAGATGTGAGCGTCGGTGTTCTCGAGTCCGCCGATGGTTTCGATGTACTCCACGACGGCCGTGGAGACCGCTACCATGTTCCCGTGCGTCAGCAGCGCGCCCTTCGGCACGCCGGTGGTTCCGGACGTGTAGCAGATCATGCAGAGGTCGCTCTCCGCGGGGCGGCACGGCGTGAAGCTCGCGGCGTCGGGCTGGAAGGCGTCGACGAGCTCCCAGAAGGAGAAGAGCGTGATGTCGCGCTGCTGCGCCGCGCTGCGGAGATCGTCGGAGAGGGCGCCCACCTGGGTGAGAAAAGGGGAAACGTGGAAACGATGACGAGCGTGGAGAGCGTGCGGAAGCGCTGAGGGTCGGTGTGGAGGCAGTTGAGAAGCATGAGGCCGGAGGCGGGCGTGCAGAGGACGGTTTTGAGTTCGGACTCGCTGACGACCGTGCTGAGGGTGAGAGAGGAGGAGGAGAGAGAGAAAGTACGCGAGGGCTTCGGGGCCTAGCGTGTCGTAGAGAGTGATGACGGTGCCGTTGTTGAACCAGGTCGCGTATTGGGAGAGAACCACCTCCGGACAGTTCTTCAGGAAGTGACCCATCGTTCGCATCTTGGGGTTAGTTTGGACTATTGTAAAGAAAAGTACGGGCGTGCCATCGCTACGCTTCTCCGTACCATCAGTCGTGGAGAGCAGGTCATGATGAGCAATGGCAGCGGCATACGACTTCATGATCTCATTGCAACGCTTGTAGCTAGGATTGAAAGAAGAATTGAAGCCGTACGTGTACCATTCGTACTCTGCGGCTTTTCCGTCCACGATTGGACGATAGCCCAAAAAAGGATCGTCTGAATGTTTGCTCAAGCCAGTACTAGCGGTCAACCAACCAAGAGCAACAATTACGCAAAAATATCGCAAATGTTTATAATTGAATCGTTCATACGATAACGCAACTGCGATTCACATCCAGGGGTTCTGTAAATTGGTCCCTATCCAACAGATCACTTCCACTCAACTACAAGTCCCTTCGAAAGATCCTCTGTGTTTGGCAAAACACTGGCATATTGAACTGGCGGTAAAGTATGGCTTGAAGTGCAACCCATTCGTTGACAAAAATAATATTAATATTTGTTATTCTCATTCATATTAATACGTAATCGAATGGAATTGAATTTGCAGATAACCTCGGTTATTAAGATTTCAATCCCAATTATCAATATTTCGTAACAAACAAAAACCATATTGGATGAAACGCAATATCCAACACACCAAAGCCCTCCAAAGAATAGTTTGCATTTTAAATAGTTTTCTTTTTCTATATTCCTAATTCCGAGTCAGATGAAATTATCCCCGGAGTGGGAGCTCTATTTTACTGCCTTTTTCCACAATACTGCCTTCACTGCGATCCTCACTTTGATCCCGTTTCTTAATATCTCTTTGAATCTTTCAGGGTATCAGTATGCGATTACGTTCAGTGGCTATTTCCTTACGCAACTCATAGGTAAGGTGTTTTTTCCAAGTGGTATCTTAGCTACCTTTGTCTATGGCGTCATTAGCCAAGCGGTTCGGAAGCGATATCTATTTCTTTTTTGTTTATGCGGACTTGTAGTCTGTGGTGATCAATGGTTTTCCTGATTTTATAGTCAATTTCCTATTTGCCATTTCGCGTACGAGCGGTAAATTCATTTGGTTCCGTATTTTTGCTGGTTGTTTTGATTACTGCTCCCCTCTCTACCAAGCGTATTTTCTCTCCACCATTTTCTTAGATTTTAGATATCTTTCCGATTTGACCAGTGTCGGCGAGCGGTTGGCTGTCACCTCAAATCTGGAGTTTCTCTCAGGTCTCAGCTACCTCATCGGTCCCTTCGTCGCGGGCGCGCTCTCGCTGAAGAATCTGTGGTGGGGTGTGTAGGATGCATGCCATTGTTCTTTCTCACCTCAGGTATTTCGGAGTGGGTTGCGATCTAATCGCTTTTCTTTTCTCTCTCTTCTTTCTCCCCCACTCGCTCTCCGTTTCCGCCGAAAAACGAAGATTCGTCTCACGCTTCGCTGCCGCTCGTCAGAACGATCGAGGTTCCACGTTTCCACCTTTCACACCCCAGACGGCCTGAACCGCAGCCTGCTCTCCGAGCCTGCTCCCACCGAAGACTCTTCAGAAAGTAAGCATTCCAAAAAAAGTCCCTATTTTCGCAGAGCTTCCGAGTCCCGGCGAACTGAACTACATCATCATCATCGCGATCGTGTGCGAGTTCTGCAACAAGTTCGTGCTGTCGTCGGTGCTGACGGGCTGCAGCTACTACGGTCACGTGGTCCGCTTGCTGACCAACTTCGAGTTTTGGCGGGCGATTCGTGGGTTTGGTGACGGGTAGCTGCGTGCTGGCGGGCGGCGGTCTGTTCAGCGTGCTGTACGTCCGCTATGGAATTCGCTGGCTGGTGTTCAGGGAGGGTGTGATCATTCCGCTGATCGTGGCGGTGGCGGGGATCACGGGCGTCGTGGGGACGCTGGTGTGCGCGCTGGGGAACCATGTGATGTTTGTGATTGGGATCTGGCTGCTGGTCGGAGGGTACTGGACGTACCAGCCCATCACGTCGATGATTATTTCTGTTTGTTTGAATTGAATCGTTCACGTCCAGGTGGAATCCACCGAGGCCAATCAGTTAAAACTCCATCGAATGGTGTATGTGACGGGGATCGTCGGTCTCTCGTTGCCGCCGTTTTTCGTGGGGAATCTGATGGATATCGATCCGGCCACTTCGCTGTGGCTCAATCTGGTCCCGTGTTTGTTGTTGATTGTCGTGATGATCGTTTGCATTTATCTCCCGGGCGGGAAAATGGCCGGGCAAATCCCCTGGGAGGCGATCGTCGAGCACGAAGCGAAGATCTCGCTGCTCAACGGAGACAATGAAATGGAGTCCGAGTTTTTAGGCGGAGACTCGATCGATATGAGCAAAAGTTCGCAGAAAACGGTGCCGATGCTCTCTGCGCCGACCACTCGTCGCGAAGAAGAATTGGTGCAGACCGTACCCAGTGGAACGCTTTTGGGATACACCGCAACCCCCGCGGAAAGCCAGTATGCGAGTGGAAATGGAGAAACTATGGAGATTTGGAGTGTTTGGTTGATACAAACAAACAAGACGCGTTTTTTTTTCGTTTAGTTGGTTGTGTATTTCATCATTATCATCATGTTAATCATTTTCTTTTTCATTTTCATTTTCATTTTCACTTTCCTGCTTACGTGAAGTTCCTTTTCAAAAAAACATTCTCGTTTCATTTACTCTCCTTGGTCATCCACTTGGAATAATCGTTTGTTTCGATCGATGTTTTGGCCGAGGTACAACCGCAGAGTTGGAGCAGCTTCTCGGTTTCGGCAAGAAGAGAGGCCTTGAAGGCTTCGTCCTCCCAATTGCGGAACCAAATCTCCACACGATAATTTATTTGGTTGTTGCTGATGTTTGATTTGTCAATTACGCGAGCTCCCGTGATATTATTGCCATTATCCAGACTCTCACCGATAAGACTAATTACAACACATTCCCAGAAAATTGACAGGGTATCGTGATCTTCTTCTATTGGTGAATGGGAAGGAGAAAAGAACTTACTAGAAAACACGCACATCAAGTGTCCACCCTTTTCGTTGTTAGGATCTTCGTATTTGGGTTCAATTCCCTCCTTAAAAATACACTGACCAATAATCTATTCCTCAGACTCAAAGTACGGAATTACTCGACATTTCCTGACAAGCGTCGAAGAATTGCTCGTGTCTGTCCTTTCAACAATCTTTTCAGTCCCATCAAAAAACACATCTCTAGCAAATGACGAAAACCAGCCACACGTACGCAATCGCCGGAATTTGTTTCCAAAAGCACCAAAATGTCTCTACTGTACCGATCACGCATAGCTTCTCGAAGGAATTCTCATATCCCTTCAAACGGTCTGTTTTGTTTTCAATATAGTACTGTTCAGATAGAACCCATTTGTTCTCTAACACATGAAAATTTTCCTCTTGACTTTCCATTGCAATTAAAGTTACTATAACAAACAAGAGTCTATATGTACGAAAATGACATTCAAACTAGTAGGTAAACAAAGCTGGAGTTAGCAGTGATATTTCTCCCAACGTCTCTTTTCAAGTCTCTCTCGGGCACTTGTCACAGACACACAGTGTCCGCAATACGCACCAAGGCAGAACAACGCCAGGCAAGAAAAAGCCCTCACTCTACGATTCGGAGTGTTCGCTACAAATAATGGAGTTTAGGTTTAGACCTACCGATGAACCAGCCAAATGGAGCAAAGACACTTCCATAAATGCCCAATCGTGCCCATTCATAGGGAGTGAACTCCTTGTGAAAAGACTCGTAGTTATCTAAAGTTTGAGGATCGAACTTCTTTTCAGACATATTGGATTCTACGATTTTCGTTTTCTCTCAAGGGCTGGATAAGAATGAACCTGCATATTATACAGATTTGCATATTAGGGGCATTCATTAAGGACCAACTTTGAAATTTAGAAACAATAAGTGTCCAAATCAAAAGTTGATTTTAATTTTGGAAAGGAGAGGAACAAATAAACATATGGTAGAGAGCAAGAAACCGATTTGAACAAACAAGATAGGAATCGTTGAAGTTCGAATACTCTCCGTAAAGACGATACCTTCTACACATAAAAAGGAACGCAAAGCGCTACAAATCATCCAGCTCTTTGAGTAGTTCCTTCTTGTTTGTTTGCACCTTTAGTTTATTATACAAGATTGCCATAGATTCCATCTATATTATCAAATTAAGACACGAAACCAAACGAATCCAAGATATTCCGGTGAAATGCCTTCCACTTCCCTGATCGAGTCTTTAATATACTCTCCGAATTCCAGAGCAGCAACCAATTTCTATTTCCATAGTTTTGAACGCAAAGCGATACATTTAGCTTGATGTACATTCGAAAGAGCAGTATACGCACTTGGATCAGCTCCGCATGATGGATTTCGTACGTATTGCTCATAATCTGGTTCAATTCTTTCAGGTCAGACAACCATTCACTGGCATTCATCTCGTTCAGTCTATTCAACATGTCCACTTCAAATCTACGATGCAAATCCCTCGTATCGAACTGTCCGACAATCCGGAACGAGTCTGTCAAGACATTGCATCGCATCCACTTGGACATGGCAATGATCACAAACGAACTTGGCTAGAATGAAACGACTCAACTCGCCTTCCTACTCGGAAAGGACTCATTCATAAATAATTCAGGATAGCAAATCCCTCTGCACCGCGCGCCTCCATTGACGGCTCGCAAGCAAAGAATGCCTTGACAGGATTTCGCTTCCTGCGTCACACAATCACTCTATCATCATGAAACACTATTCCACAATTCTACGCAACACATCGAACATTCACATTCAAAATCAAATTGAGTTTCCAACAGTTTCGCTTTGATTCGTGGAATTCGATAGGAATCCAAGTAGCGAATTCGAATTTCTTCGGAAGCTTCGATGGGGCGAAGACTCGTCAGAATCAGCTGATTCCCCTGAAACACCAACGCCGCATTGGGCTCACAGTGGTGATTTATCGCGGTTATATAGGGGTAGAGGCCATAACCAATCGGGTTCATTTCGGCATCTCGAATCGTAACGCGGTTATTCAACAGTTTTCGCAGAAGTCGCGTGAGTAGATAAAGCCCGCGGATATTCATTGATGTGGATGTGGATGTGGATGGAAAAGGAAACTCTTTGCATGATTCAATGAAGGCTTCTTCTTGTTTGTGAATAAAAGTAGAATCGATTTTGCGCTGAATGAGATCTTGATCGAATCGATTGAGGAGATGGTTTATTGTTTCGAGTGAAAGATGCGATTCATTGAGTGAAAAAACGGAGAGAAGCGTCTAGATCGAAAGGGAAAGTGTGTGTGGAATGTACTTGGATGTGATCGTTTTTGAAAGAGACTATGGAAGAGGAAGAATGATCTATTGAGAAAAAAGAAGATGGGAATCGATACGATTTGTGGGAAGTTCGTTTAGGTGAAGGATGCTAGTGAAACACGAGTGAGTCGGAGTGCCAAGCTCCGTCTGGGGATGCTCGCCGAGAGGATAATACACAAGTGTAAAAACAGCTTTGTTTAAGAGGTTTATATCAGTCGAATTCGTCTAGGATGTTATTCAAAGCGCCATTCAAACAGGCAAGCAGTAATGATCGTAAAACATTGAATGGAAGTCACTAGAATCGAAAATATAAATAACGAGTACGAATTCATTCCCATACAAGCTTCACTGCAGTAGTGAACAGAATGGCAAAGAGTACATTCAACGGAAGCCGCATTTTTATAGCAATTCGTGCAGAGATTTTTATCACAATTCGAAAACAATTCACTGCAATAAGGTGAGCAAGAAAATATCACGTTATCTATGGTTTCACTCACAAATTGTGTTATACAAGCTTCGATCCTGGACGTTGCAAAGAGCCCTTCTCCCAAAGCTGAGTCCACAAAACGGATTTCAAATTCCATGGAGTTATTCTTTGGTTCAGGTATCCCGCCCTCTTGCGGATGATTTGAATCTGCTCCTTCACCAGATAAACTCATCTTTGTTGTTAGAAACATCAGTCCGTGAATAATGGAAATCCAGGAATAGCTAAGTTTTTTCTTTTTCGATTCCTGTGGGAAGTGAACAGCAAATGCTGTCACTATTATATGGGCGGACGAATATCATCCAAATGGCGCCATGCATTCTGCAAGCTGCGTTCTATCATCGATTTCACCCGAAACCTGTAAGGAAAAACGGGTTTGTGATGATTTACAAAAATAAAGGTAGTGGTATTTGGAACAATTGAGCGACTAGGAGAGAATACGACGGAACTCGCTTCTCTATTAAGAGACCAGCTCAATTATTCAAAAATAGAACTTGTGGAAGATTTGGAAGAAGAGGAAGAAGGCTTGGTGTCGTATGCTCTCGGTGCTTCTCAAAAGCTAGTTCCTGTATGTCTATTCGATGTGTCTCATTCATAGTATTTACCGGACATGAATACATACAAAATATCTCTCCAACTTGTAAGGTCAGAAGAGAGTGAATCCTCGTCTCTCACTCGGAAAGAGTTTGTTTCTGCCATTTCGAATTTTATCGGAGACAGTCGACAAGAACAGCAGCAACCACTCACCCCCTTGGATTCGTCCTCTCTTACAGAGAACTCGGAGAATTCAGAGCCCGCGAATCCACCGGATGTCATCACACGTTCTTATCCGATTCACATCCACAATATTTCAATCAAACAATTCAAACTCCCACAGATCGACTTGTCCCTGACCTGCTCTCAGGGTTGTAACGTGTCTCTCTTACTCGAAGACATCAAGCAAACGCTGCAAGAGCAACTCACAAGGAAAATTCAATTCGATTCTTCGGTCTTTCGAACAGCCCATTGCGGCATTACCGAGACTTCTCCACTTTGTGTGGACAAGGAGTGAAAACAGAGAGATTCCATCACAGATAGCGATATCCGAGCATCTCCCACACACACTTCCGTGCTTCCGTGGTATGTGGTGAATGATGCCACGATGCTTCGTCACTTCTCCGTAGCCTACATCGAATCATTCCGTTTGGATTAAAGAGAGTTCACTCACGTGAAGGACTGTTCAATCAGCTTCGTCAGGAAGCGTCCATTCCTATTCAAACCAAAGTCGCGTTGTACGAGCAGTGGTCGTTGCGAATCAATACACTTATGACTCTAGAAACGAAGAGCTAACCGCGATTCAGCCAGTGAATAAGCTTCCGGTGATGATCATCACCGCCCCAACGAAAACGTTGCAGGAAGTGGATCAGTTCGGCAAGCGAAAAATGAGTGTGTTTTGAGTCAGAGTGTGAGGGATAGAAGCGATTCCAGCGCTGTTTCGAGGCGTGGGACATATCGAAGCGGAGGAAGGTGATCGATTAGTGGCCGATCTGCTGGTACCTGGAACCGTAGCCACGGCGATCAACCTGCAATCGGGCAGAGCGAAGCAGTACTTTCATAAAGCGAGGAAAGAAACGTTTTGGAGTGTTTGTTGCAAACAAACAGGAGGATTAGTCTTTCTTCTTTTTTTCGGCCTCTTTCTTCTGCAAATGATCTTTCAGCAGAAGCTTCAAGTCCTAAACAACAAGAAAGGAAATGAATGCTTACATCGAGAGTGGGATAGCGCATCTTCTCTAGTTTTGAAAATACAAGTGTGTCGTCGAAGTAGACTTCAAACGCACCAGCGAATACAAAGTTTGTGGTTATATAGTAACCCAGGTAACAGAACATGAGAATAAGATAACGATTCTTTTTCAGGCCTTCCAGTAAGAACGCAAGCTTTGGAGTCTGAAAATCAATCTACGATTAAAAAGAATTGAGCATATAGCTGTACAGTAAGTAAAATGCAAGACCCCACGATGATAAAAATCAAAACGAATCTCAAAATATAAAAGGCAACCTATCAACAAATCCATTCATCATCCCAACTTTCAAATACGGGGACAGCTCAATGTTCTCGAACTTAAAATTACCATCTAATACCGGATAATACTCAACTAATTGCTTCTTCAACAATTCATACTGCTGTAATACTACATCACAGCTATTTGCTTTGATAGTGATTTGGACATCACCCATTCCATCATCTATAATTCGGTTATAGTCCTGAATGTCTAAAAAGTCAAAATCACCCGCAAAACTCCAACCCTCCATTAGCAAAAACGAAAAAATAAATCGCCCACATGGGGGCTCGAACCCCAGACCGTTAAGTTAAAAGCCTAACGCTCTACCGACTGAGCTATGTGGGCTCTGAATAACTTCCGGTAGATTGACCTTTACGCATAATCACTCACTTATCTCCTCGAGTTGTTCATGCTGGTCTTGTTCTATGGAAAGATTGATCTGCGCGGAATGTAACAAATTCGGAGTTGATATTGTTTGCTTTGGCAAGTGTCATCGAGCCTTTCACCAAGCATGGTATGTCGTTCGACGAATACGTACGATACAGCCTACCCTGTACAGTTCAGTCAACGAGACGATGGATATGTCCAGATTGTGAAAAGGAAGTGGTAGGGGTGGCTTTTCTTGTGTATTTTTAGCATCGCTGCCATCAGTGTAAAGAGTTCGCATCGGATAAGGATTTGATTCAATGTCAGGCTACTGATTGTTATCTGTTTTTCCATCCTTCCTGTGTTCCTGAGCAGTTTCGACGGAACAGGCCATTCCTTTGTCCTGCTCATTGCTGTTCCTTCTGTAGACAGTGGGAAGATGAACGCGACCCCTTGTTGAAGTGTGCTTACTGCTGCAAGTCCTACCACGAGTACTGTCTACCCCTGGAAGTATTTCCCTTGTCGCCTCAGGTCTTTCTATGTGCCTCTCATCGATTTGTACCATCATGTACTGGTGTTGATTGTAGGAAGACAGTACCCTTCCTCCCTTATCTTACGACCTGCTTGTGAAGCGAGGAGGAGAGCAGCTTCCAGAGGAGGAGGAACTTCCGGAGAAGACGAATGAAGGAGAGATTGACTACCTTGCCTATTACAAGTCGCAATCGCTCCATTCCGACGCTCCCTCATCAAAGCGTCTTCATCAATGCTTTGTTTATTTGATCAAGCAAACATTCAAGCGAAATATGTACTCACAAATACATGATTATTCAGCATCATCCACCTCTTCCATCTCCAACTCCTTCTCATCCTCCTCAATACCATCCTTTCCAATAAGGGTAGGCTGGATGTAAGGAACGACACCTCCTCCGGCAATGGTAGCCTTGACAAGGGTATCCAACTCTTCGTCTCCACGAATAGCAAGTTGTAAATGACGAGGAGTGATACGCTTCACCTTCAGATCCTTGGAAGCATTTCCAGCCAACTCGAGCACTTCGGCGCTCAGATATTCCAAAATAGCAGCAATATACACGGCAGCAGTAGCTCCCACACGCTGGCGAGAGGATACACGACCCTTCAGGAATCTGTGGATACGACCGACAGGGAACTGAAGTCCTGCCTTTGTAGAACGCGTCATCACCTGCTTCTTTGTTGAGGGAGCCTTTCCTCCCTTTCCTCCTTTACCTCCTTTTCCGGACTAAACACTATTAGAGACCATTTTCAAAGAATAGCATTTAAGGAAATCAATACATACCATGATTATAAATTCAGTGCTTTTTCAAAGACAAATTTGAACTCAAGTCTTGACGCCAAAAAAACCACGAAAGAGCGGCAAAATATCGATTCGATTTTGTTTACCCAATAATTATCGATTCTACAGAATGATTGGGTAAACAAAAGACCGTGGAATTTTGTATCACCAGTTGAAGTACAGGATTCTGATTGAAAGCCAATTGATTCGACAAACAAAATCCGGTCGTCTTGATTGTTCATGGTTGATAGTAACGAAGTTCGCCATCCTTCTGTATGAGTAGTATTGGAGCAGATACGTAATGGAGGGGAGAAGCAGAAAGGTTCATTTTGAATTCAATGCAACGACAAAAGCTGGCGGATGCACTTCAAAAACGAGATGAGATGGAAGCGAGAATGAAGGAGATTATTGCCTATTTAACGCAACCAGGTTTGGAGTCGATGGCGTTTTCTGAAGGTTAGGTCCAGATGGAAAAGAACCCGTTGGGCTGCGTGGAAATCTGCTTGATGAGAATGGATTTCCCAGAGATGACATCGATTTGTGGAAAGTGGGTGTTATTCGTCATGGTATAATTTAGATTCGAGAACTGAGACATGAGCTTGCTGTTTTGAGAACGGATTATGAGGAGCTGACGCGTTCGTTGGAACAATTGACCTTTGAAGCATTTAAGGAAATCCAAGAGAATGGGGAAACAGAAGAGAAGCAGTCAACGATTTCTGCCACTCATTTGGAGCGAACTTCATGTCCAGTCACCGAGATTCATTCCGAGGTTATTCTTTCTCCATTTGGCGCTTTTCGCACAGTGGATGAGGATGGCGTTTTTGGAAGGAATGGAGTTCTTGATGGTGATCGTGTAATCATGTTCGGGTCAATAACCAAGAAATCGTATGTTGATTTGCGTCAATTCGGTGGGTATGTATCCAGTTGCCGTGGGAAATCAATCGAGTTGGAGATTGAGCGAGATCGAAACGGAGCCGTAGAGCGAATGAAAACGCAGATTGAAATTCCAATGGAAGGAAGTTTGGGGTAGGAACACGGATGTAGTATGAGTGTAGAATCCATTTTGTACCATTGTTGTGAGGATCAAAGAATTGGGAAAGTGTAAATGTTTAGAAGCAATGAATGAATGAATAAGATTGTATGATTGTTTGTTGAGAGAACTGTTGATTGGCGTTGAACGGGTAGAAGAGAAGAATGAGATATGTAACATGAATAGTTTAAAGAATTTGAAGAATATCCGGGGAACGAGTGAGTGAGTCACAAAACATATTAAGAGCTGAATACATTCAACTAAATAGGATTACTGCTGTTCATCAGGATGAGATTGAATGCAGTTCACAGCTATTTATATATATTGTGGATGAGTTGATTATCTTATTTAATAACATCGAAAGAAATCAAATATTAGAGCTGAATGATAGCAAATATGTATAATGCTAAAACAGTAACAATATGGCTTTGCTTTATTGTGTGTTTAATTTTAGAATCCTATTCTTTTGTTTGTTTAAGATGATTCAAAAAGGTTTATCTCTTATTTCATACTTATGAATAGCTCACCTGACCGAAATTCAAGGAAGTGAGTACCTACTCGATAGATATATTACCATTGGTTATCCTGAACCACTGACTAAAAATGGAGTACAGTACACTGTTCAACGATTCCAGGGAACACATAAAAATGAATTTCTATTGCGATCTCAAACTGGAGATGTATATTTGTACGAAAACAATGTACTGAAACAGAAATGGAAAGAGAATGATCAGGGCAAGAGATCGGAAGAGTTTATGGCGCAAAAATGGCCGAGTTGATTTCCGTCAGCGATTCCAAGATATTTTGGAGCAAACCAATTTCTATCGAATTATTTATAACAAGAAAGTGCAAAGGATGGAAATCACTTCAAGTATTACAGGAAACTTGATGTATCACGGAGGGTTTAACGAAAGACGAATGAAAGAAGGCTGGGGCATCGAATACGATGAAGAAAGCGGAAATGTGGTTGTAGAAGGTATTTGGAGCAGAGGAGTATTGAAAGAAGTGATTCGCTGTTTCAATGGAGATACGATGACCGAATTGAAGCGAAATGGAGCAGATAGTTTGGATCCAACAAAACGAATTCCGATCTATGTGGGTGGATTTCGCTATGATGAAGACAATGAACGATTTATTCGTGAAGGGAAAGGATGTCTGATTGATGAAAAGATTGGAATTGCAACTCGAGAATGTGAATGGAAAGATGGAAAGGAAGTGAGTGGAGTGGATCTAATTGGTGGATATTACGATGTAAAACCACTTCAACTGATAATTGAAAACAGTACAGACATATCTGATTTGAGTTTAAGCGTAACAGACTTGAAGATTTCTTCGAATTGCGGTAACGATTTGAATTCATTGGATCTGAATCGACATAAATGGCTACGATCAATCGAAATCGGCGATGATTGCTTTGGATCAGTTCAATCATTCAAAATTGATGGATTGAATCGATTGAAAACTATCAAAATCGGAAGCAAGTCGTTTACTCAAGTGAAGAGTATTGAAATTGGGGAATTTTACAAGGTCAACAACCAATCGAAATCATTCCACATATTGAATTGTGAATCATTGGAATCCATTCAAATTGGCGAATACAGTTTCAGTGATTTTGGAGGCGACTTTGAATTGAAGAATCTACCACAATTACAATCCATTCAAATTGGACCAATTGGAAGTGATTTATCGTACAATTTCTGTTATTGTTCACTTGTGATTCGAGGTATTGTTATGATATTGAAAATGATTGAATGATGCATAGATCTTCCAAATCTACAATCCATTACATTAGGGGATGCTGCATTCAATGTTTCCTTCTCAACAATAATTGAAAGTATTGAACGAATTTGAATGAAATGATTGATGTAGATCTTCCAGCATTACAATCCATTATACTCGGTTATCGTGCACTTCAAGGAAGATGGAATGATGATTCTTGTTCCTTGATAATGCGAAGTAATAATGAATGGTTCAAAATGATTTGCTTTGTAGATCTTCCAAATCTAACATCCATCCTTAATTCTGGGGGAGGTAGTTTCTGTGATTCTTGTGTAGTGATATTAGAAAGTATTTCTGAAACTTGAATATTGATCGTATTTAGATATTCCAAATCTTCAAAATGTCGATCTACCTGGTTCGTTCAAATTTGTAGAAGAGAAATCAATTTCGAGTATAGTTTGATTGATTTGATTTGATTCATAGATGTTTCTTCGATTCTGGCTGATTATGTCCAAATCATTGAGTAGTTCTAGCATTGAATCTCCACATATTACGCATTTTCTTTTCATTCAATGATTGTGGTATATTCAATGCTATAAATTGATACTAAATTCTTGTAAACCATAATTTATATATTTATTGAATTGTAACCATTTTTTCTTTTTATTTCAAATAACGATTTTTGAATGTCATCATTTAACTCCAAGTGTTGTATTTTACTGTGAGATGGACAATCCAACGAGTGATTCTCCCATGTAAACAGTGGCTCAAAGTTACCTATGTTCCCTACAATTACGCGTAGTGTTGCCATTTTAGTGTTATTTTAATTGTAATTTTAATGTTTAATCAGTTCGTTAGAAATCAAACATATTTATTTTCATGATTCATCAATGTTATGTACCATGAGCCACAATCATAAACACAATATCTCTTTATTCCTACGCATATCCAGCATTTTCGTTATGACCATACCATATTTGTACAATATGCACTTAGATTCAAATTAATCAACTAACCATCTCCCCTATCCATTTCTAAACATCAATCCAACTCCTATAAATCTCACTTCGCACTCCTTTCTCCCATCAACACTCAAATCCTCCATCCCCTCGCCATTCATCCACAACCACCAAACGCTTTTCCAACAAACACACACAAAACAAAACTACACACGATACGCCAATCGCAGCTTTCGATGCAGCCCCAGAAACGACGACTGCAGGAATCCCGGCTGGCTTTCCAACAAACTCAAAAACTCGCTGCGACTTTTCTCGAATCGCTTTCGCAATGAATCGATTCCCACCTTCCACTCTTCCGATTCGCTCACTTCGCGAAGCTTCGCGCTGCGCTCTCGCCGTCTCGCTTTCATTTCCGCGGTTATCTGCGAAATTGTGCGGTCCTGAGGTTCTTCAGCGAGAGAACTGTCCAGAGAATAATCGCGACGTTGTTTGAATTCGCTTCTATTCGATGATTCATTCCAACCCAATTTTACTTCTGGCAGAGCTGCGAAGTAATCAAATCCACGAAGTCGATGGAAACGTTGCAGACGGTTCGCAATGCGCGCTGCAGACTGTCAGAAACCAAAAAACATTTTTCGTAAATGCCGCCGACGAAGTCTTCGAAGTTTTGGACAAATGCATCGATTGTGTTGTAGCTGGGAAGCTCTGCTTCGAATTTCGAAGCTGCTGGGATAATTACATCGGTGGACAAGAAGAAAAGAATCGTATTGAAAAAGTATTTGAAATTGTTATGCAAAATTCGTGCGTCCAATAGAATGCTCTGCACGGATTTTTCTTTGAGTTGGTTTAAAATTCCCCACGTTGTATCGAGCGAGCGGCAAACCCGCTACAAAATGAGGACTGGGATGAAATAGAGTACGTTCAGTAGAAGCAATTGATAAAACAATTTTTTGTATTTCTGAAGCAATGAATTCGAAATGATGATGTTCAGCGGATAATTCAAATTCACGCCGATTTCGATCACATCCCATCCCCGTTCGTTCCCCGTGGCTCTCCGTTTCTCCACACTCAGCGATTCGACGAACTTCTGCGCCGAAGCCAAATTTGGCGGGAAAACGTGGAAAACGGCTTCCTGGAACAAACTCTGCACCTTGACCAGATCAACGGAAGACGCAGGCAACGCCAGATACTCGTGAAGGAAATCATGGAGATAGATGGAGAGATCGCCTCGAAGCATGAGGAAGAATTGATTCAATTGAATGATTCGCTGCGTTATGTCGAATTCTTCGCTTCGCAGCACGCGCAGCAATAGCTGGTTCGCGTAATCGAACGCCTCGTCGATCTACTGAAAATCCCGCGGGAATCGGTACATATTCCCCGTAAATGGGGACATTGGAACAGTATTCCCACTGTTTGAAGCAGGGATTGGGCTCCTGGAGGCCGGTATTGGCGACAATATTGACGTAATGTCCGCAGAGAAGAATCTTTGCGTTGCTGGCGCTGATGGCCGACAGCTCCTATTTGTTATGCATAACAAGGTCCAGAGAGAGAGAAGACTTACATGGACGGGGTTGAACTCGAACTCGTCGCGTTGTCCGAGAGCTCCGAGCGATTCGGTGTGATGAACGACCATGAATTCCTGCGATTGACGAGTGATGAATGAATGAATACGTCGAAGGGATCGTTCACTTGGCCTTCGTAGAGATACGACTGCATCATGCGGAAGTACTCGCGCGAGGTCGCTTGCAGAACGTCGCTACGGCGAAGGGAGGGAGGAGGTGTACCTGTAGAGCTCTTTCTTGCGCGCGTTGCTCTCGTTCTCTTCGAGGAGGATGAGCTGGTTGAGCAGCTCGCCGCCGCGGATGGTGAGGCAGCAGCGACAGAGATCGTCGAGGACGTCCAAGGGATTCGACCAGTTGAGGAGCGTGAGGTGGAGCATGGAGAGAGAGGTCTCGCTGCTCATCTGGGGATTGTTAGAAGGGGTCGAGAGAATCGAGAGAAGCAATGCATGGGATTATGGATTCAGTCAGTCAATGGATGAGTCAATCAATGATTCAATTCATTCAATTCATTCAATTCATTCAATTCATTCAATTCATTCAATTCATTCAATTCATTCAATTCATTCAATTCATTCAATTCATTCAATTCATTCAATTCATTCAATTCATTCATTCAATTCATTCAATTCATTCAATTCATTCAATTCATTCAATTCATTCAATTCATTCAATTCATTCAATTCATTCAATTCATTCAATTCATTCAATTCATTCAATTCATTCAATTCATTCAATTCATTCACTCATTCAAAAACCCGATCAATCCATTCACCCATTCACCAATCGTTCACCTATCCACCTCGCTAATCACTCCATCGAACGTGCTCATGTTTTCCTGGATCAGTCGGATCACCGCCGTCACGATTCTCCCCATCTCAAACCGGTTAAACTCCGCCACGAACCACTTAATCCGCATCTTCCGTTAAGAACACACACCCCATAACCGCGGATATGACTTGACCAATCACCGGCAGCATCAGCGTCAGCAGATTCTCCAAGTTCCGGTCCATCGCAACGCGCGGATTTCGCTCGCATCCGCGTCGCAGATAATCCAGCGCCTTGCTCGGGTCCACCGCTCGCTCCAGCAGCAGCCGCTTGTTCGGCTTCCGCGGCCGATCGGCCTGGGCAAAGCCCAGCAGGCACCCGGAAGAGCCGAGAAGCGCGTGCCGAACTTCCGCGCCGACCAAAACCGACTGCGTTTGCACTGGATACGGCGTCAGATCGACCGGATCAGGGGGAAACGTGGAAACCAGAAGGTCCTCGTAGAGACTGTACGGGGTGAACTAGAGGTAGAAATGGAGAAACGGGGAAACCTCGAGGTGGGCGGCGTGGGATTTGAGGAGGCGCCAGATTTGACGATCGGAGAGAGCGAGAGAGGTGGGATCGGGGTGGATCTCGGGAATGCCCTCGTGGCCTCGGAATTTCCCGTAGACCATGAAGAAACCGGCGGGCGTGCGGATGGCTAGAGGAAAGCGATGGGGATGCGGATGGGTACTGATGCAGCTGCCGGACTCAAGGGTGGGGGATTGGTCGGGGAAGATGTCGTTGTTGATTATCCATTTCTCGCTGTCGCCAGTGATAAGGGGGACGAGGATAACTCGATTTGATGTTTTCTCAAAACTCAGGTAACGCATGGATTCTAACGAAAATCAGTAGGAAAACGAATAAACTTACTTTTGTGACGAATACACACGAGACTGCCATTCTTGATAGCTCGTGTGTCTCCCGGATTTTCAGCATTTACAATTACAAATGTGTCCTACGAATAAACAGAATTTATCATTCCTACATCATCAACTCCCGCTCCTGACCCATTAATCGAAATACGATACGAATTGTGCTCTCTTTCAGTAACACTTAAGAACATGCCGGTATATCCACTAATAACGATGCAGCTATTAAAATGGAGAAATAGAGACGCATCGACAGAAGATTCTTGTATATTCCTATTCTCTGATATTTCGACAGGGGGAGCGGCAGATTCCCGTAGCTGTTTTGACTATTCCTCAACGCTTTCCCGCTCACCTACTTTCTTTATCCATTCATCTACATTGTCCATATTTCTCTTTCCAGATGGTGATTCTTTTCTTGGTGGATCGATCTCCATCTCATTGAGAGATGTTTGAAAAATACGAGGAATTTATGGAATTCAACAATTAGAGGGTATTCTCTTATTTTTTGTATTTGGAATAGGTTTGTGGCTTGTGGTGTTTTGTGAAATGTTGGGGAGTCAAAGGAGCGATTGGTTGCATGAATCGGAAGTGATTGTGAATGGGATGTGCCAGTATGTATAGTTTTGATTAGGAAGTTGTATGGAACTAAAGATATGTAATATAGACTTTGTACTGAGAGATATTTGTACAGATCTCTTGAGCATATGAGTCATACTCGAAATCGATTTGACCTATGTGGATCAGTAGCCACACTACATTGTGTTTGAATTAATAATGAAGGTCAGTATTATGCTCAATTGTATAATCTATTACAGCCATAACACCACTATCCCTAGATGACTTTCTTCCTTGTTTCCATTCCAATTGAACCAGCATAATTTAAGGTTGCCATCGCTTATTGTACTTAAACAAGCAGCTCGCAGAACAATCACTATTCTAAACAATAAAGGAAAACTGCATACAAACAATACTGTAAAACCTTAAGAAACACTCAGTGATGAGTCTACTATGCCGCCTGCCATAAAAAATATAGCTTCATTTCGATTTCTCACTCATCTCAACATCCCCTCAACACTCACTTATCACTAACACCCTTTCAATCAATCTCTAAGCATATAGACACAACCATACTCTATTTTTCTCTTACACACTTCTTTTCTTTCCATTTTTATTCTTTTTCTCCAATGTATGCTTTAAAACTCGCAAAGTGCTTATTGCGTCCTGCACAATTCGTACCGATTCTATAGAGCTGTTCTATGTAGGCTCCAGTGCGTTCTACGCTGAGAGCGTTTACTACCAATCCTAAGGGTATGACGGAAGAAATGGTGCAGAAGATTATAAAGAGAGATGAGGAGTTGCGTCGAGATTACTATGACATGCCTTCTTCGTTCCCCGAGTCCAGCCAGCCACCAAATGGCCATGTGACGATGGTTTTCCCTTGCTCCGTCTTGTTAGGAATAGGAAGACGCTCTTCGTAAGCGACTTCTTCATCGCTCTCGCCAACGAGGTATGCTCGAGGTAGATTTGCTTCTCGGCAAGTGGGCTCAACTGAACGTATTCGAAAATCGTGTATCTATTATCCCTTAGATCAATCGTCTCAGCAGACAAGAGCTCGATCAATACGAAGCTCTCCTTAATAGCGAGACGGTGGATATCTTCTCTTGGATCACCGACAAGTCCCCTCTCCCTCCTGTAGGCGTAAATTCCATTCTCGTTACCGTTAGGAAATGGACTTGCCGATCGTCCGAGAAATTCAACAGTGGGTTAAAAGCAAGCCGTTCGGTGTTGCGAGTCCAGAGGAATACGCGAAGAACAAGGAGTTTTTCTCAAATTGAGGTGTTTGTTTGATTCGCGTTCGTAACGTCAATAAGCTTTTATTTTTGTTGTGGGGGCTATGAGGAAACTTCAACGCTCGACTTTAAACAGTTTTTTGAAATCTGTGGAACCGAAATCAATCCTAACACTCAGGCTTTATTAGGCATTCCTAATAGTCACTCATTGCAATTTTAAATTATTTCATTATTTTCTATTTTCTGATATGAATAGTACTGAAGGGTTTTTGCAATATGAAGCTATTAATGTGGGTTGGGTGTCAATCCTACCTCCCGTTGTTGCTCTAGTCCTGGCACTGATAACAAAAGAAGTCATTTCATCACTTCTGCTTGGTTGTGTGACTGCTGTTGTGATCTACTCGATTGCAGTATTGATGGGAATGTGCCCAAATCTGGAAAAAGCAAACCCTATCGATGTTTTGTTCACTGTTATGGGCATTCAAGTCGGAAACAACATTCACTTGTGCATTTTCTCTCTTTGCATGGGAGCGTTACTGAATCTGCTCACGCTTTCTGGAGGATCCAACGCATATGCTGAAGCTTCCAAGCGGTTCGTGCATGGCAAACGTCCAGCTCTTTTATGGACCATTTTGCTTGGCTTTATCATGTTCCTAGACGATTATTTTAACGCAATCACGACTGGATCGGTGATGCGTACGCTTACAGATATCAATTATGTGTCGAAGCCCAAAATCTCGTTTGTGGTTCACACCCTTGGCACGAATCTCTGCATTCTCATTCCCCTCACGAGCTGGGCAGCTTCAATTGTCGCGCAACTGGACACAGCAGGCGTGGCTGACGCGTTCCCTGTGTTTTTGCGAACCATTCCATTCAACCTCTACAGCATCCTATCGATTCTATTCGTGCTGGTCAATGCCATTTTCGATTTGGATTTCGGTCCAATGACAATGTACGAAGACAATGCGAGGAGCGGCAAAAGTGAATCGGATGGCTCCATCGATAGGGCGGGCCAAGTGAGCACCGCAGAGCCTTCGAAGAAGGGCAGAGTGTTTGATCTAATCATTCCATTGCTCGTGTTTATCATTCTCTCCATCTTCTTCATTTTCTACTTTGGAGGCTTCTTTGAAGGCGGAATCTCCGTCACAGACGCTGTAGGCAACACGGATGCCGCCAAATCCCTCCTCTCCTCCTCCTTCCTCGCCGTCGTGTCCACCTTCTTCCTCTACGTTCCTCGGAAAGTGATCTCCTTCCGCCAATGGTTCGATGCGATGCAGGAGGGCACCAAGTCCATGCTGCCCACTCTTCTGGTCATCGGCCTCGCTTGGACGATCAGTGGCTGCAGCTCCATGCTTCTCATGACCGGAGAATATGTTGGAAACCTCGTGAGAGAATCCTCCATCCCCGTGCAAATCCTGCCCGCGATTATTTTCCTGATCGGAATGCTCATGTCGTTCGCTACGGGCACGTCGTGGGGAACGTTCGGCATTTTGATCCCGATTGTGGCCGGAATTTGCAGTGAGGAGTACGCAGAGTACCTTCCAGTGAGCTTGGCAGCTTGCTTGTGTGGAAGTGTGTTTGGAGATAACACGTCTCCTCTGTCCGATACGACGATTCTCACGGCAGCATCGACGCAGTGCTCCATGCTCGTGCATTGCTCGACGCAGTCGATTTATTCGTTGACGATTGCTGGAGTGAGTTTTGTTGGGTATCTGATTGCAGGATTCTGTCATGGAAATGTGTTTGTTACGCTGCTTAGCACGCTTGTGATTTTTGCTCTGGTCATGGTGCTGATTTGGCTTGTCCAAAGAAAGAGAGGCACCAAGGAATTGCCCGTTTCTTCTGTATAGTTAGTTAGCTGAATTCTATTTCTCTCTTTGTTTTTAACCAACTTTCAACATCTTTGAACGTTTTGTGTTCGGTGTTTTTGTTTTCTCTTAGAGAGTTCCAATTCAAATTTATGTCCTTAAATTGCATTTGTAATTCTGATCCAAATCGATTGCATACGCTAACTTCTGTGCACTATCCCATTGTCAAACTTTTTTTCCCTTTTTGATGAGTGTTTCAAATTCATCAAACTCGATCATTCGTATTGTCAATATCAATGTCCTAGATAATCCTTCTCCCATAACGCACGCTTTTCAGTTTGAAATCGTTTTTGAATCTCAAAAAGACCTTCCCGAAGGTACTAATTTTCATTTGGAATCATCAAATAGATTTGGAATGGCGCATTTTGTATGTAGGCGATCACAAATCAATGGAATATGATCAAATACTCGATTCGATTCTCGTGGGGCCAATTTCGCGTGGAACACACAAGTTTTGTTTTCAAGTATGTTTAGTCCCATTCTTCCATTTTCGAGGCCAACGCTCCCGATTATACAAAGATTCCCGATGCATCGATTTTGGGCTTGACGGTGATTCTTCTGTCTTGTTATTACAAGTCCCAAGAATTTGTGCGCGTCGGTTACTATTTGAACGTCAGTTGCAACACTCCTTGGAAGCAATATTCCCAAATCGAGCGTATTATCTATGCAGATAAGCCGCGAATAACCTATTTTCCCATTTCTTGGTGGATTGTTTGTTGTGATCCAATTTGATATATCTCTTTCGGATTGCACTGTAGCAGATTGATTCGTAAAATCGCGATCCTTCTCTGAACGTTCGTTACTATCTTGTGGTTCTCATATCTTCTCAAATCTCTATTATCTGAAATCCGCTAGCAAAGCCAATATCCAACTCCATTTCCACACTCCGACATCATAATCCCAACTTTGTTCTCTCAAACAATCCAAATAAACACTCCATCACACACTTTGCGTCTCATAAACTAACCAACCGACTTCCCGGCAACGTCGATGGCAAACTCATCGGGATCGAGCTCGCCATCCTCTTCAACTTCCTCTGCTGCTCCCACCTCGCGCTCTACTTCTCATCTCCATCCTCCTCTCCTACCGACGCCGGTGGATTGGTGACCCACGGAAATGTCAACACTTCGCGCATGCTAATTCGTTCGTTCGGGTTTTTACACAGCATATTCTTCACCAGAATCAACGCGTCTCTCGACACGGCCTCCCAGTCCTTCTCTTCGTACTTGACGCGATCATGCACCGTCTGATGCAGCAGCTCGCTCTGCGTCTCGCCCGAGAACGGCGGATAGCCCATCAGCAAGATAAACAGCGTCACGCCCAGCGAATACACGTCGGCCTTCTCCGAATACGCGCAGTTCTACGTCCCACTCCCTCCAAACCCCGCACACTAATCACTTCCGGCGCCATAAATCCCGCGGTTCCGACGACCTCGCTACCCATCACTTCCCGCCTCACGAAACGCACTTGGTGTCGCGATTGAAGCGATCCATGAGCAGCGAGCACCCGAAATCGGCGAGTTTCATGGGCGAATGCGAGTCGTTGGACTCGTAAATTATGTTCTCCGGCTTCACGTCCAGGTGAAAAATGTGCTCCTTGTGCAGCTCTTCCAGCGCGCTCCCGATCCGACGGATCACGTTCGCCGCCTCGCGCTCTATCGTCCAGAGAGGATCCTTGGAATACCCGAAAAACAGCCTTTTTTTGCCACGCGATGGTAGAGATCGCCGCCGCCCAAATACTCCATCACGATGTGCACGAGCAGCGGATCCTCGTAGATGTCGACGATGCGCGCGATGTGCTCGCTGTGGATTCGGTTTTTGACCGCACGAAGCACGAGGAGCTCTTGACGGAGCACTGATGCGTCGATGTTCCCGCGATGGATCACTTTGATCGCGAATACTTCGCCCGTGCTTATCTGCTGGCCGAGGTGCACAACGCCGTAGCGACCTTTGCCGAGGGTGTCCAAGATGCGGAAGCTATCATGAATGGAGCGTCGCGAGTTCGGGTTGGGGGCGTAGATGCGACGGTTGAGGGCGATGATGAGGGAGATCAGGCGAATCCACTGGTCCTGCGAGGAGTGAGGGAGAAAGGGGATCATTACGCGTTGTTGTGTGCTATAGGCCTCGACGTTGTAGAGACGCTCGGATTTGTTCGGTATGATTGAAAAGGCATACGGATGGTCGGGGATATTCTCTACCATCACTTTGCCATCGGCGGTAATTTCGCTCGTTCGACGAGCCACTTTGAGGTTATTCACCTGCAGGTTACGAGGCAGAAAATAAGGGGAAACGTCAAAGTAGATAAGTGTAGAACCAAGAATCCGGAAATAGCGGCGCTTCCACATTTGCAGACCGCGAAATCCCTTCTTCCGTAGATTCCCTTCAAAATGAATCTGGAACAGCAGGTTCTTCGCCTCATCAATAGACATCCTTTCGAGATCTTCCTGTCGGAGGGCGAGAATGTCTTTTCCATTCAGCAACACCTTCTGCAGCGAGACAGAATACTCCGGGGAGTCCTCAAACTTGAACTCGTCAAAGAAGGTTCCTTTGAACAAATCTCGAATGGTGTTGCGTCTTCCGCGCACCGAGGACGGCATCGGTGAATCGGAAGATGGCGTCGGAGAATTCACAGTTTGGTCCATAATTATCGTGCAACCATCGTTTCCGACCGTGAAATCGCCAAGGTCAGAAACTTGATCGTTCGATAAAGGCTGATCGTTCATTCGCCACCTTTCCACTGTTCGACTTTTAAACATCCGGGCAACTCGATTTCCTATTTCAGGCTTTGTACTCGCAAACAACTTCCTTAATCGTTCCTTACTATCTACACCACCGAATTGGCTTTGTTCTCTCCATGATGTGTCTGAAACAAACAAGTATGGAATGTAATCCAAAACCACAGTGATTACATAGCATTAATAATATCCTGCACATCACCCTTGTACAAAGTGCACATGTTAGCCAGGGTGCGAGCATACTTCATCGAATAGTCGTTGAATCCATAAGTGCTCTGGTACTTCTCCAACACAGCGTTGTAGCAAGGCCAGTTCTTCTCAGCGAAGTGGAGCTTCAACATCGTGTCGTCGTTCTTCATCACTTTTCTCACCAGCTGCTTGAAGTAGCGATCCACGTTCAGATTGCGCTCAGCAATCTCCATGTACTTCGCGTACGCCTCACGATCGTTCGCATCCAACGCACGGTTCTTCCAGAACAGCAGATCGTTCAGACGCGAATCCCACTGCTCCACACGGCGGTTCTCAGAGCGCAGGAAGCGACGACGTCCCGCAACCTCCGAAATGTAATCACCCACAGGCTCCTGAGCAATTTCCATATCTCCGAACTGAAGAGGATGCGAAGTCGTCGTGAAGTCCTTCGCGTCATCGAACTGCTTCTGAAGAGTCAGAGTGGACAGATCGGCAGCATCATCCTGCTCCAACCAGAAGCAAGACCAGACCTCACCCAGGCAAGAACCAATATGGACACCATCGACCACATCATCATTAGGAGGACAGTAAGTACCCCAAGAGGACTCATTGGGAAGTGTAGAGGACAGAGCATAAGCGTTGATGTCATTGGGAAGAGTCTGCCACATGGAACCAGACTCGCAAGCCTCCAAATAGTAGACCAGCTTTCCATACTTGCCCTCATCGTACATCGTCTGGATCGTCTGAACCAGCTCCCTAGCAGTAAGGTAATCACCATCAGGCATAGCCACAATGTTATCACCTCCATGATCAATGTAATAGAGGAAGATATGATCGTCCTTGTTGGTCTTGAGGACCTTAGGGTTCTCAATTCCAGTCATATTACGGACAGAGCCAGAATCACCGAGCAGAATGTTCAGGTAGAGCTCCTTGGTCAGCTTGTACTTATGGTCATAATCAATAACCAGACCCTCCTGATAGTTGCGCTGGTTGTTTCCAGGGTGGTTGAAAATAGTTCCAGAGAAAGGATTACGTGGGTGATCAGGAAGATCTCCGTACATGATGGTGATAATGTGATCGGGATCAAACTTGTGATCGATCAGAATACCATACATGTGAGCCACATCGGACTGGTGTCTGTAGTTGCCGTATCCTAGTTGTCAAAGAGCAAATGAAAGAATACCGCTGGATCCAGCAAGCAGCACTGCCCACTTCGAAGCAGAGGCAATGGCCAGGAGAAGAACAAAGAATGAGAATTTCATAGCTTACAAAGAAAATATGATAATTCAACGTAAGATTATCATGCATAAGTAACTTGCACATTAGAGCCTGCAGGACGACATGCATCGATGATGCATCGCACTATCTTGCTGGCATCCAATCATATTACGCTCGATTATTTGCGACACAATTGTTTGGAAACTTGTTTTATCTGGATATATAGATTGTACTTACAACACATGTTCAGATTTTGGTACAGTTTCGAAATCCTCTTTCGTCGATTTTGTAATTAGGGAGAATTGCATAGGACAGGGAAATAGTGAGAATATACATCTCAGATAAGTGATTTAGCTTGCTAAGATTTCCGTAAAATGGAGAGACAACCAACGTAGAATAGGATATTATGAACATATTTGAGTTGATTATAGTGCGGATAGCGTCTAGAATAGTTTTTAGGTGGGTAGTGAGAAGGTATGAGATGAGAGTAACAATATTCTGTTAGGTTGCGGTTTTTCTTTGTAAGCAGAGATCAAAATAGTAGAACTGAAAGGAGATTGTAGTTGATTTTCGGAATGTGAAATCGAAGGTGGCACAATCGTAGAAAGATATTATGAATGTGGAAGTAATTTATTAATCCTTGACTCGTCTTTTGATGTACGTACATGATAAAATGATGACTGTTTAGTGTCAAGTTGGATTTGGATTATTTGGCGCTATTTTGTATACCAGTGCTTGCTATATTCGTGAATTTGTTTATTCATGGCGAGTGATCTATTTTTACGTGTGACATGGTTATTTCTCCATGCTTGATAACTCGTTGTTATTATTGAACATTGCACTGTGTGTTGTGAGACAAATAGTCCAATATATATATATACATAATATCGCATTGTTTTCAGTCAAATTCATCTTTCCAAGTATCGCAAGTTTTATCATCGTTCCTTGATTTTCATTGAATGGATACTGTATTTTATCCATCTATTCTTGATTGCAAGCCTTAATTATGAGAATGTCAGTGTCCATTTTCGAAAGTTGTGTTCTCCTTTTCGCCTTGGTTCAGAAAAGCATGCGATACGAAATTTGCTTTCTATTGGACGATTAATAATGATTCGTGAAGTCAAGTCAAATAATTCAAATTCCTATAAATTCTATTATCGAGTGTGTTTTTTATTTATTCATGATGTGACATGAACAAATAGAAGCGTCTAGTCCTCTTTCAATGAATATTGACAAATCCTCACTAATTAAGATTGACTATTATCCGCTGGATAATAAAATCATCGTCTGACTAAATTGCATGCAGTATCCAGCGTCACATTCTCAAAAGTGGTACAAACTACATCTGAATAGTTTAATTTTATTCAAATTTTCCACTATACGGTATATACTTGTAGACAGTGTCGATACAATGAAGCTAGTCGAATAAACAGTCGACTTACTGGCAGAACTACAGTGGATTGATATGGAATGGGAAAATTTGTGGCAAGAATAGTCTGAATAGACAATTTGCTTACTTTTATTTCTTGCCACATCTTGTATCATACAAATGAGTGAGTGTGTGACTACTAGTACATGAAGTAAATATGAACTCTCCAGAGATAATTAATATAATCCAATATCGAATTGTGTGAATTTGTTCTGTCTCTATAGAGTAAATTCATGTTTTGTATTCCAATCCAATAGACTTCAATATTCATGGTCTGATCGTATTTTTGCATCAATATCAACTCTTCAACACTCCTCCCACAATTAAAATATCGATTCCTCCCTTCAGTTCAATGTATTTATCTCACAAACATTCAATGAAACTCAAAATCATAGTGATTACATAGCATTAATAATATCCTGCACATCACCCTTGTACAAAGTGCACATGTTAGCCAGGGTGCGAGCATACTTCATCGAATAGTCGTTGAATCCATAAGTGCTCTGGTACTTCTCCAACACAGCGTTGTAGCAAGGCCAGTTCTTCTCAGCGAAGTGGAGCTTCAACATCGTGTCGTCGTTCTTCATCACTTTTCTCACCAGCTGCTTGAAGTAGCGATCCACGTTCAGATTGCGCTCAGCAATCTCCATGTACTTCGCGTACGCCTCACGATCGTTCGCATCCAACGCACGGTTCTTCCAGAACAGCAGATCGTTCAGACGCGAATCCCACTGCTCCACACGGCGGTTCTCAGAGCGCAGGAAGCGACGACGTCCCGCAACCTCCGAAATGTAATCACCCACAGGCTCCTGAGCAATTTCCATATCTCCGAACTGAAGAGGATGCGAAGTCGTCGTGAAGTCCTTCGCGTCATCGAACTGCTTCTGAAGAGTCAGAGTGGACAGATCGGCAGCATCATCCTGCTCCAACCAGAAGCAAGACCAGACCTCACCCAAGCAGGTACCAATATGGACACCATCGACCACATCGTCATCGGGAGGACAGAAAGTTCCCCAAGAATCCTCTCCAGGGAGAGTAGAGGACAGAGCATAAGCACTAATATTCTTAGGAAGAGTTTCCCACATGGAACCAGACTCGCAAGCCTCCAAATAGTAGACCAGCTTTCCATACTTGCCCTCATCGTACATCGTCTGGATCGTCTGAACCAGCTCCCAACCAGTCATCACTCTTCCATGAGGCATGTAAATGACGTTATCACCTCCATGATCAATGTAATAGAGGAAGATATGATCGTCCTTGTTGGTCTTGAGGACCTTAGGGTTCTCAATTCCAGTCATATTACGGACAGAGCCAGAATCACCGAGCAGAATGCTCATGTAGAGCTCCTTGGTGAGGTTGTAATTCTGGTCATAATCAATTACCAGACCATCTTGATAGTTGCGCTGGTTGTTTCCAGGGTGGTTGAAAATAGTTCCAGGGAAAGGGTTGAAGCGGTTGTAAGCCATATCTCCGTACATGATGGTGATAATGTGATCGGGATTGAACTCATGATCTCTCAGAACTGCGTACATGTGAGCCACATCGGACTGGTGTCTGTAGTTGAAGATTCCTGTGAATCAGTAAGAGGGGATACAGATTACCATAAGAACCCGCAAACAAGACTGCCCACTTCGAAGCAGAGGCAATGGCCAAAAGAAGCACAAAGAAAGAAACTCTCATTGTCCACGAAAATATTATGTTTTATAGTAAGACAATCATGCATAAACACATTGCACACAAAAGCCTACAGGACGACATGCACCCCAAGCAGAACACCCTTAGATTGTGTTAACCAATCAAATGGAATGCCGCCATTCTTAGCCATTTGGAGTTTAGTGTATTATTATATGGATTCACGGAGTATACACACAATAGAATCGTTATTTATAAGGAAAATGCACGTAACTTTCACAGATATGTAGAGTTCACAAATGCAACGATTACACAATCTCAAATCCGTGTGCTCTGTTTTGGCTATTTTGTGTTTGTAATACTGTCAAACCACGGAAAGCAATATGCACAGTTTATGGCTTTTGCGCATAGTTGTGTTTTTCCTGCTGGGGATTATCTCCTGTATGTGCCATCGAATTTGATGAGTATATAGTAGCAGAATGCACGCAGTGTGAAAATGGAGAGCATTTCACTCTGATTAGTAAAATACGAGGCAATTGGATCAAATGGAAATTTAGATATTATAGCAGCAATGACAGATCGAAAGTAACAAATAGCCCATGGAAACTCCGTGACTCTGTCGAATCTGAGTCCTTACAAGAAGAACTCTGTGTGGAACGGGCGGAGAATGATGATTATCTCTTCGAAGTTTACTTGTTTTTGTAATAACTCGTCTCAAGTGGGTAGAACAAAGCGAAGCCCGAATTCGGCTCTCTTTTTCATGCTCTACGAAGGAGGCGTGCCTACAGATTCAAATTTGTTGGCCGCCCTGGAGGTTCCTCCGCATGAAACGCAAGCGAACGTTTCGTTCCACTTCCGACCCTCTTCCTGCTCCAGAACGTTCTTCCATTTCTGTTACCATCACGCGGCCTCGCCGTTCTGGGTAGGTCCGATTGCCTTTGTTTCATCACCAGGAATCGTTCTCGATCACCGGCTTCAACCCCGACACGGCCGTTCGTGAACGCCTCTACTTCCACAACCACACCACTCCGTCCCGCTCAGTCCTGACCTCCTTCCTCTGCATCGACCCCTCCTACACGCGTCTGCACATCACTCTCTCTTCTCCGTACTCCCTCTCCCCTCCCTTTCTCCCTCAGCCACTCTCTCGGGTGGAGCCCTCTCTCCTTCGTCCAGCAATTCAGCGCCAAAGGCTATCTCCTCGGCTCCTTCTCCCTCCTATCCGCCTCCTCCCGTTCCTCTTCCCTCTTCTGGGACGACGGAGAGTCCTCAGCGCTCGTCCCTCTCACCTTCCACCTCGCTTCCTCCACCTCTCCATTCGATGATGTCATCGCCTTTCTCCGTCCCCTCGACCCTTCTCACCCTCGCCAAGCCTCCGTCTGGCTCTCCGGCGCTGCCGAGCCCTCTCTCTGGCGCACCGTCTGGATCGACGCCCCCGCCCAGACCCGCGGGACGCTCGCCTCCCTCGGCTTCCGCGGGGATTCCGCGCTCCTCGAGGCCTACTTCGACGGTGATCGCGTGTTAACCGCGGAACTCGCCTCCTCGGCGGGCGTTTCGCAGTGGAACGTGTCCTGTATCGCTCCGAAACCTTTGATTTTAATCCTAGACCCGCGTGCGACGTGCCCTCCCTTTTCCCGCCACAGCTTCTTCGCCCCGCGGTTACTCGCGGGGTCGTCGTTCCTCGCCCGCTCCCCCACGCAGTCCGCGATCTTCAACGCGACTTGCGACGCCCACGGCCACTCCTCGGCCTCGCTGGCTCCCTGCGAGTGTCCCGCGGTGCGCGACGCGCAGGCCATCGACTGGCCACAGTCCCTTCCCCACACGCTCCTCCACAAGCCCTGCGCCGCGCCCTTCTTCGGCTCCGTCACGCGCTGGTGCTCCGCCTCCTGCCGCTGGGTGCTCCTCCGCGACCACTGCCAGCTCCGCTCCTGCCCGCCGCAGCTCGGCTTCGGCGTCGCCTGGCCGCGCTCGCGCCCCGGCACCGTCGTCTCCGTGCCCTGCGCGCACCAGCCCTTCGAGCCCGCGCTCACGCGCCGCTGCGCCGAGAACGGCGAGTGGGCGCCCGTCCAGCTCGGCGCCTGCGCCTGCCCCGCCGAGCCCGGCTGGCCCAGCACGCCCGGCAATGCCTACGCGCAGCGGCAATGCCCGGAGGGCTTCCAGGGCGCGGTGAAGCGGCGCTGCAGCCGCATGGGGGAGTGGGGAGACGCGATGTGGGACTGCCGGTCGCTGGCGTGCCCCGCGGAACGCGTCGGGGCGCTGGAGTTTCCGGAGACTCCCGCGGGGAAGAGCGTGGAGGTGGGGTGCGGGAGCCCGTTCGTGGGGTGGATGAGGCGGGAGTGCGACGCGCAGGGGAAGTGGAAGGCGGTGGAAGACAAGTGCCGAATGCAGACGTGTTCGGAGTTTCGGTTCTCGCTGGACGCAGCGAATAGCTTGTTTGTGTTCTATCTGGGGAATGTGTCGAGCACGCACCTCGAGATGACGGTGCGCTCCGCGGGGAACCGGACGTTCTCTGCGCAGGGGTCGCACGTGCATAGCGACCCGCTGGAAGCGTCGATTCCGCACGAAATCAGCATTGCGGCGTGGAATCGATCGGTTTTGCTGGACGCTTGTTTCATCCAGAACGTCGTCGTTTCCGATTCCTGCGTGGAGATCGAGCCGCCGTTTCTGGTCTCGGTGGATGCGTCGCTTCGAGCCACGTTCGGGATTGTGTTCCCGCACTGCGGAACACTCTCTCCCGCCTCGTTTTTGTTCTCTCTGGTGGCGATCCCGTCGTCGGAGTGCGCGACTCCTTTTTCATGGAGCGAAGAATTCGCGTGCGAAGAGGAAACGTCGAACTGTGCGAGTCGCGAGATCGCCCACGTGGCGGTTCCGCGGTCTCTCCTTCCCCAATGCGCCTACCAAGCGTCCTATGCGCTCTCTCTCGACAAGTCTACGCGCCTCCCTCTCGAATCGCCCTTCTTCACCTTCCGTCCCGCTTCGCTCTGCCCCGAATTCACCTTCGACATCTCCACCTCCCTCGTCTCGATCGACTTCGTCGCCGTCTCCTGGTTCGCCAACCGCCCTCTCGTCTATCGCAAGATCGTCCTCCGCCTCGGCGTGGCCTCCTCTCGGCCGCGCCAGCTGGCCCAGCTGGACGCTTCCAACGTTCGCGTGCGGCCCGTCTGCACCAGCGTGGCGACGTGTCACAAACTCTCCATGATCACCGTCCCCATCCCCAAGCGCGACGCCTGGATCGTCGTGAACGTCCAGGCCGAGACCGAGGACCTCTGCAGTCCGCGTCTGGAGGCCAGCTCCGCGTTCTACGCGTTCGCATCGATCGTCACGCGCGTCGAGGTCGCGCCAGAAGACTCGTATCTGCGACTGAACGTGCTGCATTTGTCGGTACCCGCGTGGATCGACGTGTCCGTCTTCAACATCCTCGGCGAGGAGCTCAAGCACGTGACCCATCCGTTGTTCTATCGGAATCTCACCACGCTCACGGTGGGCGGTCTGCACCCCAATTCGCGCTATCGCGTCACGTGGAGGATCTCCGACCACTCCCAATTCGCCATTCAGAACCAAACTCAAGTCGTCACCAAGCCTTTCCATCCGCCCGAACTCAAACTTCACGTTCTCTATGCCGGATCCACGTCGATCCTGGTTCGCTTCTGGGCATCTATCACTGCACAAGCGCGTTGTCGATTCGCTCCGAGCGATTCGGACTCCAGCTTTGGCTCTGGATCGGAATCGAGCTCCAACTTTGGATCCAAATCTGTTTTTGAATCGAACTCTCAATCCAAATCTGCCTTCGAATCGAACTCTCAATCCCACTCTTCATTCGAATCGACCTTCAACTCGAATCCTCACTCCGATTCAGCCTCCGATTCGCCCCCTATTCATCCCTACGACGCCTGGTCCATTCGCATCGGCCGTCTCTCCTCTGCCGAAGAGACGCTCCGCTCCCTCTCCGCTCCGCCCTCCAGCCACGTTCTCTGGTGCCTTCTCTTCGACGAGGCTGGCGAAGTCCACCTCTCCTCCGCGCCCTCCCGCGTTTCCTTCTCTCTCCGCCCATCCCCGCGGCAAGAGCCCGCGCAAGTGCTCTCCATCTCTCCTCCCGCCTCGCTGCGTCTGCTCCCCTACGGCACGCGCGTCACCGTCCAGTTCTCGCGCCCCATCACGCTCCGCGAGCCCGACCGTCTGCTCTACTACCGAGCCAGCGACGGCCTCTCCGTCTACGCGCCCGCGCAGCCCTCCGTGGTCCAGGACTCGCCGTCCTCCTTCTCCTTCCTGCTCCAGCCCGCCCACACCGACGTTCCGGTCGACGTGTGTCTGCTCTCTGCGAGCAGCGTGCTCGATGCGCAGACCGGACGCCCCGCAGTCTTCCCGCCCGTTTCGTCTTCGCCGGCGGGGCTGGCGGGGCTGGCGGGGCTGGCCGGTTCGTCGAATTCGAAATCGAAATCGAAATCTTCGTCCAGTGCTTCGAGTTCTTCATCGAATGGCTCATCCACCTCATCAAAGTCGTCATCTTCGCCGTCATCTTCGCCGTCCCCCTCCTGCCTCTCCATCTATCGCATCATCGTCCCCGGAGGTGCGTCCTCGCTCCTCTCTTCTCTCTAGACGTCTTCATCGTCGAGCAGAAATCGCTCCTCTCCTCCGACCTCTTCCTCGAAGACCCGCTTCTCCTCGGCCACGCGCTGGACCCCATCGCCGTCTTCAACGCCACGCTCACGCTCCACTCCCTCACCTCCTCTCTCACCTCTCCGCTCCGCCTCCCCCATCCCTGCATCGCCACCACCGGACAGGACCTCCTCCTCTTCCCTCATCGCTGCTGGGCCCACGTCCAGATCCAGCACTCCTACAAGCTCACCATCGAGTACGCCGCCTTCTTCCACGCCGACCGTCCCGCCGTTTTCCCAGAGCCCTTCTACTTCCGCATCGTCGGATGTACCTCCCTTTCCACGCTTCCACCTAGCTCACCTCCCCGTCGAACTCACCGCTATCGAGCCCGCTACCGGCACGCTAGTCCCGCGGAAATCGCAGCTCGTGCTGGTGTTCTCGCAGCCCGTCGAGAAGGGCGCCGGGGCGTTACATTTCGAGCAGTTTCTGGAGAGCCGGCCGCAGTTCGTTGTGCGGCGATTCGCTGTGGGGAGCGAGGCGGCGGTGATGGAGCGATCGGAGCGGGTTGAGATGGTTTTCCCCGCGGAAAAGCTGCCGCTGGAGCCGAATAGTTTTTATCGGTTGAGGGTGGACGAGAACATTGTGAAGAACGAGGTGTGGTCGAAGGTGAAGAAGACAGCGACGCTGGAGATGGTGATTCGGACAGCGGACGATCATTGCAAGTATGTGAAGGTGGCTTCAAGTGTGGGGAAAAAGGTGGAAGTGCTATGCCAGTATGTGGAGACACGCTGTTTTTGTCAACAGATTTTTATTTGGAGTGTTTGTTCAAAAATTAGCTGCCGAATGGAGAAAAAGGAAAAGAAAGACAAGGATAAAAAAGTATTGAAGAAGCCTGCAAAGGCGAAAGTGATAGAAGGAGAAAAGAAGCCTACAAAGAAGAATTCCGATTCAAAGACTGGAAAATGTAGGGGTGTGCTGTAGGGATGGTAACAATGCGTAGCTCGCCTTGATCTGGATTCGCTGTTTAGTGCTGTGAAGGAGGAGAAGAAAAAGAACGAGGAGAAGAAAAAGAAAGAGAAGAAGAGGGAGGAGGCGATGAAAAAGAGAGAACTGGATGCGATTAACGAGTTGAAGATGGTGAATGGAGGTTTGGGATCGCGCTCTTACTAAACGTGTAGACCCAATTCGATATGATGCAGAGACGGGACTAAAGATTTATAGAGAAGACCAACTGAATTTGGGAAAGGGAGGAAATACGCCTCTTTGTCCTTTCGATTGTGATTGTTGCTTCTAATCGTATGTACTCCAATCACTGTAGTTCTACCGTTCCTTTATTATTATTTAAAAATTGCTTGTCGTTTTCACTTTCATTGCGTGTTCGAACAAATCATAAACAATGTATAATATATCCCCATTTAATGGCTCTGACTAGTCAAGCTCTGGACAACCAGCTTCATGGTATCAATGTAACGCTCAGAGCAGTTCTTGATGCAAGTCTTATCCTTCGTAGACAGAGAGCTGCCCGCAGAGGAAAGGCAAAGGTCAAAGCATTTATCTCGAATGGTCTACGCACAATAAAAATAAATAGATAGAGAAAACCGTAACAATAGCTTGAGAATGCATTTCCATGATATTTTGGTCCATACTTTGGAGGGCCTCAGCCAACTGCTCAGGAGAATAATCCGACATAATCCTTAACCTCGAATAAAAGAATATACTTCTCCACACATCGTGAATGTATAGTGTGGGTGTGCGTACAGTGGTCGATGATGCTCAACGGTCACGATTCTCTCTTTCTCTATTCGTATAAGAATCATCATAAAGTCATTCAAGGAATGCAGAGAATTGCAAGACGTTTCTTTGCCACGGAGGCAGCAGCTGAGCTCGAAAAAACGGCTGCAGAGAAAGCAACTCAATTACAGAAGCAGTTTTCTGAGGAATGTGCTGCTATCATGAAGACGCGAGGACATCACAAACTTCAAATGGGAACCGTTGTTTCCAAGAATGGAAGCGAAATGAAGTTTGATTTCACTTATGGATGGCCGTTCCGTTATTACTGCGTTTGCAATATGGGTACAGAAACTGTTACGAAAGAGGCGATGAAGAAGTTCGAGGTAGGCTGTGAAATCTGTGACTTTTATCGGTTAGCAAAGTTTGGAAAAGGTCGGAGTGAGCCCCCATCACGGCGTTTACTTTAGCAAAGCTCCCTATGAGGGAAATCCTGAGGAGTTGCGAGTGCTGTTCGTTGATTCCAAATTGCTGCAGAAGATGAACTTGGACGGCAACTCCCGTGCAGTAACGCAATACAAGGTGATGTTTTTCTGTGTTTTAGCAATGTCATACCTGACCTGGACTTGTACCTTCTATTTTAATCTCTATGATTCTCCTAGTCTTCTCTTACAAAAACCCGCAGCGTCGTCGTCTGGTGGAGCGTTGGCACCGCTACGTCCTCAAGGACAACAAGACCTCCGAGGAACTCTATCCCGAGGAGCCAGAGAAGAAGAAGCACCAAGCGATTTTGCACAAAGCGGAGGACGCTACGGCGAAATCTTCGGCTGTTACTGAGACTGTCGAGGAGGAGGAGAAGAAGAAGGAGGAGGAGGAATTGAAAATGACGCCGGTGGTGGATCCCTCGCTTCTGAAGGATCAGGAAGAGAAGGAGAAGGACGAGAAAGACGACGAGGAAGAGGAGGACGAGGAGGAGAAAAAGGAAGATGGAGAGAGTGCAGGAGGTGTGTGGGAGTCGATTAGCAGCACATTCTGGTGGCTTTTGGGCTATAAAAACTAGTTGTGATAGTAGTGGCAAAGATGAACGAATGAACGAAATGAGAATGGAGTGTTTGTTAGAAAGAAAGAAAGAAAGAAAGGAAGGAAGGGAGGGTGAGTGAATGAATGAATGAATTTCGGATTGATTGAATGGTTGTATTATGGATCGATGATGATGATGATGGAGAGATCGATGGATCCAAACTACACAAGCAGATCAATTCCACTGCGGTAATTACTGCAAATCGATTCCAAATCAATGACACATCTGAACCAAAGGGATCGAATCCCAACACAAAATCCTTTGAATGAATGAATGAATCACCTCTCTTCTCTCACACACTCCCCAAAAACGATTCATTTCAACAAACAAGCCAGTCTCTGCTACTGAACAACTGCAAGATATACAAGAACAGATTAATAATATCAAGATATCTACCCATCATCCTCTCTCACACACATTCCCACATGTTCAGCGAAGCCAACACATAATCATCTACGCTGTACTGCGCTCCCAGCTTCGTGGACGCGCACATCTGAACGTCGTACACGATATACAGCGAGAAGAGAGCAATTCCAATGTAAGCATACACGTTCGGGTCCAACAACCGCGTTAAGCCAAAAATACCGCAGAGCACCAAAATCGAGAGAGTGCAGAAGAGGTATGGGCCGCAACCAGTGAAGTCGGTTTTGGTTGTCAGGGCATAAATTACCAGAAGGAAAACCACTGCAAGCGTAACTACAACAGCCATGATGAGGGTGTTATCTTTGACAAACATACAACCAACGCCAAGAACCATCGAAGTGAAGATGGTCTAGACATAAGATTGGTGGAAATGATCTTACGAATATAATCAGAATGATCCAATCACCAGGATGCTTCTTAATGCCTTCATTTTAAGAATAAATAGTACCAAAATACACATAGTCAAGAAGATCGTAACAAACATACCGATGGTTCCAACAAGTAGAATGGGATAAATAGCACTCACTGGAATCATATTGCGCAGGAGATATCTACCCATAAGAATAGGATTATTATTGTACTCACATGAGAATAGCGGTAAAAACAGTGGTTAAGCCTAACTGAAGTAACACAATGGAGAGCACCTTTCCTTACATTTCACTTCAATAGACAAGATATACGAACAAAGACTTTTCTGACAATTGCTTCTTGTTCTTGTTCATATTGAGAAGGAACTCCCTTTTCCACATCAAGGGCTCCAGGTTCCATCACAGGGTTCATTATTGTACTTTTTTTTAAAACAAATGAATGAATTTAGAGTTTCACTACTAATTGGATATTCGTTTTCACTTCCGCGATTAATGACTATTTGCATTTTGGCATAAAGGACAGTACCAAACTCCGGACGTTATATTGTTGGGATCGACTCCAACACACTTGAAATGAAACCACTTATACCGACAATTCTCATTGTCACAACAAATCATGTCTTTTGTGGACGGTTTCCCGCAAATGCAATACTGCCTATTATCCTCAAGCCATGCAGTATCCTCCTCCCCAACTCCTTCATCGACCTTCATCTTTGTTGGAACAGGATAGTCTTCTGCATACTATGAATATCACAAAACACGCCAACCGCCCTACTTTCTTCGGTCTCTTAATTTTTCTAGGTTCACTTAATGAGTGAGCATCAGACTTTATCACGGTGGTTGTTTTCACCTGATCGCTGATTTGAACAAAGAAAACATACATCCTGTAACTCTGCGAAAAACCGATCTCGAACACTTTCCTCATCAACGGAAATTGAATAAAAACGCCTAAACTCGAAAGACAACTCCACAAGTACATTTTCACTAAATCAGCCACTTCCGATTGAGTCGCTGTATCAGAAATCTCGATCCCATATTGCTCAGCAAATCGGCGTAGAGACCACATCTACCATTCACGAAATCCCCTTTCCTCTTACAGATAGACAACTAAAATCTATGGGTCCATCCTCAAGTGTTTCGAGTGATTCTTGTTTCTCACTCATAATATATCGAAAGTGTTTTTGTAAAACAAAAAGAAGAGCGTCTAAAATCCTCTATCTCATATATCTTTATAATGCATTTGAATGATCTAAGCGACTTGTGATTCTTTGTGAAGTGCGAAAAAGCAGCTGAAGGAAGAATTGAACAAAGCGGAAACAATTGATTGTTAACACTAATATTAATAATAATAATATTTATATTATTTATATTAATCTTACTCTTCTTTTTCTGAAAGCTTTTAGCTTTTCTTCTTTTCTGTGGAACTATGCAATTAGCAATTCGAGATGTACTGGCCTCGGAATATTCGATTATCCTGGCTACTCCACTTTTGCGGAAGGCTGAGGTAATGGTTACAGTAGATCGAAAATATGCTTCGAAAGCTTGCGGACGCCATGATCTGGAAGAAGTGATTGATCAAGTGTGGAACGACGTAATCGTTGGTGGGAAGTATCATTTAGACCTTGAAAGAAAAACCCTATCTTTTCAATCAGTCCAAGTTCCGTTTTTCCAAAGCGACCTATGATAAAACATGCCACATGATGTTGGGACTTACAAATTACAAGGCCTATGTGGGATCGAACCTTGGACCGAAGTGGAAGCTGTTCTATGAGGAGGGCATGAAAATTGGCGATCCCGATGCTTACTTCGGCAATCCTCTAGGCAATCAGGTAGCGATCGTTCTAAAAGACGGTAAACACGTTATCATGAACCGCAGCTACCAAGTTGCCGAAAGCCAGGGCAAGCTAACCGCAGTGGGCGGTCATCCCGAGCCTTCTGTTTGTTTTTGTTGTTGTTGTTTTCAAAATTCAGGAACTCCACATCGAATCGTACGAGGACGCAGCGAAGATCCCTAGCTCTGTCCTGACCAACGAACTCTTCGAGAGCATGCGCCGCGAGGTGCACGAAGAGACAAACATCCCTCTCGATCTGATCTCCGAGATGTACATGACGGGCGTCATAGGGTAGAAACGGAGAACCCGCTCGATCGTAGGAGCAATGCGACGCACGGAAGGCAGGTGCAGGTCTTTTGCTGTTTCGTGCCGCTGGAGAGCGAGCAGGTCCGAGGCTATTATCGAAAGGGGCCGGAGGACCAGTACGAGAGCTTGGGAATTAACTTTATGACGCTGGAGGAGATTGTGGAGATTATGGTGACATGCGGAGATGATGGGATGATGGTGTAGAACACAACGCCTGACCGGTTCTGTCCGGAGTCGAGAGCGCTGTACACGGCGTTACTGCAGTCGTTGGATGCGTATTACAAGGTGAAGGACTCGATCTTTGCTGCATAGTTTGGATCGATTGAGTTGTTTGTTTATACCAATTTTTTCGCGTTTTCATTCAAAATCTGTAGGAAATTATGATCTATGGGATTGGAACCGACCTGGTCCAGCTTTCGAGGATTGCTCGCACATGGAACCGATTTGGCGATCGGTTTGTGCGACGGATTCTGTCACCTCGGGAGATCGTCGAATTCGAGAGATATACACAACCCAAAGCCCAATTTCTTGCCTCGAGGTATTTTCTGTATCGAACTTCATTTCCTACTAGATGGGCGATAAAGGAAGCGACCTACAAGGCGCTCCGCCATCCGGGAATTCCTTTCAACGCAATCCAAGTGCTCCCGGACCATCACAACATCCGAAGTCCTTTACACCTCGAATTCGATGGAAAGGCAAAGGAGGTCGCGACGGAGAGCCACATCACTGCTTCTCACCTCTCTGTGAGTCACGAAAACGACATGTGCGTAGCTTTTGTAATATTAGAATCGAATTTCCCTCTTTTGTCCAACAAAGAACCCAATCTGTTACAAAATGACACATTTCTTTTCCTGCTTCGAATGGAACGAATACTCCGACGATCCCTTCATCGGCTGCGTATTCCCCTGCAGTGTATTCTTGCTATGCGTGCGGCTAATCTCCTGCATCTTCGGCACGGGACTCGTCTGCCGCGTTTTCTTCCGCTTATTTCTACTCCTTTTTCCACCTCTCCATTCCTACGCAAACAACAGCGCCTCCTTATAAATCATCTGCCGAATCTGCTTCTTCTCCGTGGCCTCCGAGCTCTCCGGCAGCTCCTCGAACGGGAAATACATCGCTTCCGGCGCCTCGATCTCGCACTCTCCATTCCGAATCTCATCGAAATACGGCGACTTCAGCGCCTCCCGCACCGAAATCCGCTTCTCCGGGTCTTTCTCTCACTCCCTTCCTTCTCTCTCACTGAACTGCAGCATTCCTTTCAGCAGCGAAATCGCTTCCGGCGGCGCCGACGGCAGCAATTCCTCGAAGTCCTCGCCCTCCATGGGCTCCAAATTCAGCAAAAACGTCTTCATCACGCCGTCGTCCATCGCCTCGATGTCCTCGCGACTCGGCGTCCCGATGATCTCGAAGATCTTCTCCAGCTGGTGCGTCTCCGCGTGAAACTCCTGCGCCATTTTCTCCTGGCGGTTCTTCTCCTTCCGCGGGGCGCTCAGCGGGAAGCACGTGGTGCCCGGGAACAGCGGGCGGATTCTCACCGTGTCCGCCTCCAGCGTCTGCAGCAGTTCCTCCTGGATGAGTCCCGCGGGGAAGACACACCATGATGCAGCCGACGGACCACATGTCGATCGACGCGTTGTAGTGGTTTTGCAGCGTGATGAGCTCGGGCGCGCGGTACCAGCGCGTGACGACGTGCTGCGTCAATTGGCGCTCCAGCGTCCGCTCGTGGGCTTCCCAAACCATGGAGTTGCGTCGTGGGAGGGTGCGAGCGGAGGAGTCGATTTGCCGAGCGAGGCCGAAGTCGATGATTTTGACGTTGCAGTTGCCGTCGAGGAGAATGTTGGAGGGCTTGAGGTCGCGGTGAATGAGGTTCGCACTCTAGGGGTTGGAAAAGAGGGGGGAGAAAAAAAGTACCTGCATGTAGAGCAATCCGCAGAGCATTTGATAGACGATACTCTTGACGTGCTTGTCGCACCAACCAGAAATGTGCTTGCTACTCTTCAGCACTTTCGTTAGATCCCATCCGCCGTATTCCTGCGGTTAAGATCCTGTGCTGCGGATACTTGAACAATCCATAATTGCGTAAAGCGCTCTTCATTTTTGGGGAGCAAGATATCTCTAGGATATGAGTGCAGAATCTGGATTGGTACTCTAATCTAGCTATGTTGGGGTGGTTACAACGACGTAATATGCTAATCTCTCGTAAGGTGCGCTTTGCATCTGTGCTCGTGCGAAAAACGTCGTCAATACGCTTGACGGCGCACCTACGTTCCACAGGATCCATATAAGTACTGTTTCTTGGTTTCACGGTTCTCTGCAAGATAGACGGTTCCATAAGCGCCCTTTCCAAGTTCTTTAGTCAGACAGTATATTGTGTTTATTTCGTCAGGAGTCTCGAGATTGCCCTTATATTTCCCTCCTTGTAGCTGCCTCATGAAAAAACATTCTTCGAACTCCTACAGACATCTGAAACACACCTGCGCTCAAATTCCAATCTAAAAAATAGTTGAATGATGTTTGTCATGATAATCAAGAATACTTGTACAAACAAGATAATGGCAACAATCATTACGTTTTCTCCAAAGCCGAAACTGCTCTTTCATCGATATGGGAGCAGATTCTTGCGTATCTTTATCTTCCTCCATCATTCGTTTTTCGTGTCTATGGTTTGCGGTCTTTCAAGAACTTACGCTCGTTTCACCATGGCTTCAGCAATTTGCAGGAAGGCTGTTTCCACATTGCTCGCATCCTTGGCGGATGTCTCGCAAAACGAGGCGTTGAGCGAGCTTGCGTATTCCTTCCCAACGGCTGCAGCCACTTCCTTTTTTTCGGTTAGATCACTCTTGTTTCCAATAATACAGATCGGAATTCCGGGGTCTGTGAACTTTTGGATTTCCTTGTGCCAATCTTCCATATCTTTAAAAGTTTCCTGTGCTTAAGGATGGAAGAGACAGACAGTACAGTGTCGGTGACATCGTAAACGATCATGATTCCGTCTGCCCCTTTGTAGTAGGCACTCGTAATCGTTCGAAATCGTTCCTGACCGGCTGTGTCCCACTACGTAGAAGGGTTTGGTAGATAATACAATTTGGAGTTTGACAGACTTGTCCAAAACTTCAACTGTTCGAAAACGCTAGAGTAATAATATGATCATGGTCAAATACAAAATCAACGCCGATTGTACTGATAAAACTCTCTGTAAAGGCTCCATCCTGTCAATCAGCGCTTTCCACCTCGCTTACAGCGAAACGCAGCAGCAGACTCGACTTTCCTACTCCGGAGTCTCCCACCAGCACGATTTTGAACATGTAGTCACTAGCTTTGATAATGCATTCTCTGTGCCTACTATCCCCCATTCATTGTAAAGAAATTCAATGACAACTTCTCATCTTTCAAACAAACACGGATCCAACTATATCACTTTTCCTTTTTTCTCTGATAAAACGTTTGTATCATTTGTAGAATCGAAGCGATCTCTTTGCATCATTGAATCAAAACTTGTTTACCTTTCACGTTACTGCGGCGACTTTCCAGCGATTCATCCAGCGTGCCGTTCTCAAAGAACTCTTCGTCGTCATCTTGCGAAATCAGCTTTTTGCTTTTGATCAACGACATCAAATCAAACGACGGATCTTCCGACAAATCCTCCGACGCTCTGCGATCCCCTTCCTCCTCTTTGGGCGTTTCGCTTTGTGAGTGAAACTCTTCCATATCAGAAAGACTCAAATAACGCTGGCAGAGCCGCAGCAGCGATTCATTTTCATCTTCGAAGAAGGTTGAAGAATTCAATGATGGATTGGATGCGTCGTTCGATTCATTCAATTCAATCGATGAGGGGTTTGATTCATTCAAAGAAGGATTCAAAGAAGGATTCGATTCATTTGACGGGTTTGTTTCATTCAATGATTCATTCAATGATTCATTTGAGGGTTTTGAAGGATTCGTTGATCCATTCAATGATTCATTGACTGATTCATTCGTTGATTCATTGACTGATTCATTTCCATCGTTCAATTCATTCAATAGCTGGTTTCCACTCAACGCATTCAGCGTGTTCAGCACATTCATCGAGTCTCCATTCAGCGCGTTCAGCGCATTCAACACGTTCAACACGTTCAACGCATTCATTCCTTCCTCTTCTCCTTCTTCTCCTTCTCCTTCTTCGTCTTCTTCTCCCTCGTTTCCACACAGCAATCCTTCGTTCCCTTCGCCCAGCAACCGAAGCAGGAAAAAACGCAGCGCCTGGTTCCGATCCTGCAGCCGCGGCGAATCGCTCTCCAGCATTTGTCTCCAAACGTCTTCGTAATAATTGGAGTCCGCTGGAAACAGGGGAGAACCGCGGTTCTGCGATTGGCGCTGGAGTTGGCAGAGATAGCGAGAGAGAGAGGAGGGAGAGCGAAGAGAGCGAATTGAGTCGACGGTTGTGAGAGCGAAGGCTTTGAGAGCGGGAGATAAGTGCAAAGAAGATTCATCGATGATGCGACGAAGAGTACAAATGAGAATTGCGATGGTTGTGAAAAAAGGACTCAGCTAACGATAGCAGGCTCGTAAACAAACGATTACGTTGCGATTTGTAAAGTAGTACTGGTGAATACGATAGTTCGATGGAATTCCAAGTTTAAAAAAGCAGAAATCAAGAATTCTGAAATTGTCTTCCGCACTACACTTCTGTTCTACAACATCACCCTCGTAACAACAAAAGAAACGTGGATCTGGCAGATCAAAAAAGGGGCAAAGCTTTTGAAGTAACCGCACCAAAATCTAGTCCTCACATTCACAAAAAACAAACGCACGCTTCCATCCTCCAAATCTTTTGCAAGATCTGCAGACAGTGACACATCTAAAACCGATTTCACCCAGTCAATGAACAAAGTCGCAATGTCCTACACATCACTCGCTATTCTCTCTCACACCTCCTTATTCCTTCTAAACACCTTCGTCTGTGACTGTTCCTCCGCCATTCGACACACCTCAATCGATTTTTACAACAAACACAATGCTATTAATCCCACGCAATATCTCCATGTTCCACGCGATCCCCGTCAATCGCCGTCGTATTCTCCATCGCCCACTCGATCCGCTGCTTCATCACTTCGAACGACGAGTACCGCGGTAATTCCAAGTCATTGAAGCACGTGTGCGCCACCGGGAAGTACTGATCCGCTTCTCCCTTCGTCACCATCCGCATAATCTTAAACTACACCTTCAGCGCCATCAGCCCAATCATTACCGCGAGCGGCGCCTGATGGCTGAAAACCGGCAGCCGCGACCGCGCCGTCGCGAACTGAAGAAACCGGACGCGCTGCGAGCGACTCAGCTCGCTCAGCACGCGCCAGAACCACTCGATCTCGCGATCTTCGGGCTCGAATCCTTCGTATTTCGTCATTCGCCGCAGCTCCGAAACGTCCACATCGCCGATTCCCACGATTAATTGCATGTACTCCGCGCCGCGAAGAATTCCGTGCAGAACGCCGCCGATTACATCGTCAAAACCGCGGCGAAACGCCTCGCAGAGCCGTTTTTGGGCGGCAAACGCTTCCCGAAGCACCCAGCCGCAGAATTCGTCCATTTCCCGCGGTTCCACGATGGCATCGGACGGATAATCGCGGTGAACGCGGAGAGTGCCTTGGAAGGAAGGGAAACTCCAGGTGGTTTCGAGTTCTCCGCTTCGACATTGCCTGCAAAATCGAACCAACGACGCGTCGACCAGCTCCAAATCGCTCTCGTTCACCGTTTCCCCCGCGATTATTTTCCACAACGCGGGAGAGAGGAGCAGGTTCACTTGGATTCCGCTCAAAACCGCGGTTCCCACGACTCTCCCGAGCGCCTGGACCCAGGTTTCGTCGACGTCTTCGTCCCAGAGGAAGTCCTCCTTCCCCGCGGTAACTGCGCAATCGGCGAAATTGGGGGTTCGGCGCAGGTAGGCGAAGAGCTCGAGATCGTGGAGCTCCTGCATGGTGGAGGCGAAGAGCTCGCGGTAGAGCCCGCCGTTGTCGATTCCGCCCTCGCCAATGAATGAAACCACGAAGGACCGGCGCTGTCCCCCGTGGGAATGATGGATGTAGGATCGGCGTAACGCCTCGGCGGGCTGCCGCTCGATCCACTTCAGGAATTGATGAGAGATGGAGGCGTTCTGCCGCTCGAGGAGCGGCAAACGCTGCAGACGCTCGCGGCGCGCAGCCATTCGATTGATGGAAAGAAGAGGAATCGATTCGGGCAGACGCTGCGAATCGATGGAAGGTTCGATTGGAATTCGCAGCTCCTCGAGCCGCAGCGAACTCAGCAGAAACCGCGTCGAGGAGAGACACAGCGCCGTTAACGCTGCATAACTCTCCAGGTTCGACGCCATTCCCGCGGTTTGACGGTCTGGAAAGACCGCCAAAAACGCGAGGAGGCGAAGAAGCCGCCAATTCACCGCGAATAAAACGCCCACCAAATCGCAATCGCGGGAAAAGGAGGATTCCTCCGAACCCGAAGAACCGCGGGAATCCGCTAAAAAGGAGGGAGGGAGATTCCACGCGATTTCCCCAGTTTCCCTACATGCGGCGTCGACCCGCGGGAGAAGGGAGAAAAGGAGGGAAAAGTTTGAATTGACGTGATTTTGGAATTCTTCGAAGGTTTCATTCGGAAAATCGATGGGGGGAATTGTGTCTCTGGCAATTCCACGTTTCCACACTTTGGAATATTCTTCTCTTCCACTTTCGAAATGATTGGACGGAATCGGCTGAATCCAAAAATACCCTCCATTTGTGCCAACCACTTTCCACGCCGAATCCTCGTGTTCCGCGGTTTTTTCCACCTCGACCCACAAATTCGGAATTCGGGACTCATACCATCGGAACCGACCCGATTTCCACTTTTGGGTCTGATGAAACGCCTCGCGCAAGAACCATTCGGGGAACGTGCGTTCCGACATACACTGAAGGATCAAGTGGTAGGACGACATGCATTCCGCGATCATTTCCTCATTCGACACTTCCCGCATCCAATCCACCGACTCGTCCAGCGCGATTTCGTCTCCGAAAACCGCGGTGACTCGTCGATCCTTGAAACTCCGGATGGAAACCGGCTTTTTCCACGGAAGTTTCCCCAAATCTTCCGCCAGCAAGCCGCCGATGCGTTCCCCCTCGCGGAATTCCCGCACGCAATCGCGAGCGAAGTTGACCATGACGAGGATTCGGTCCCTGGCTTGCACGGAGTCCCCGTAAATGACGTGTTCCCCGCGGTGAGTGCAAACGCCCCGGAAGCCGTCCAATCGGATTCCGCGTTTTGTTTGGGCGTCGAACACCGTGAGAGCGAAATCGGCGAGGGCGGCGAGCGCTTCGAATTCGAAGCAGAGGCAGCCCGAGGAATCGCCGTTGAATTCGCGGATTGATTCGCACGGAATTCGCCAGAATTCGGGAATCCAGTCCCAAGTGGACGGAGTTTCGTTGTGAGTGGATGAAGAGGCAATGTGAGTGGATGGGGTTTCATTTGATAGAGTTTCATTCACATTTTCACTTTCATTTTCATTTTCAATATCAATTTCACCATTTTGATTTTGATTTAATGGAGTTTCACTTTCATTTGATGGAGTTTCACGATTGAAGGAACTAGCGTGATA